ATATCAACTCCTCTGTGTCCTGCGATCTACAGTTCAGAAACCTGGCCAGGATATTCCAGGCTGGAGCTACTCTGAAGGCAAACTTCTGAAGAAGATTCCTCAAAGAAGAAGCAATGGTAGATCCGAAGACACGGCCTAACCGCTTGCCGACCACCCTATAGCAGAAATACTACTCCAGGGCTGCAGCGGTGCGCACCCTACCCACGCCACCATTCACAGCTGCAGCTGTCAGTCACCGGGCCACAGCTGGTGTAATTACCAGGCGCCCCAGTGAATTCCAACGGGGAGGACCACTGTTTTGTTTACCAACAGTCCTTCGTCAGCTCGGGCACACTGCACAGCACAGCCATCCAGAGCAGTGTGATTACAGTGAAGCACACAGACACCGCCCCCTAGTAACACTCCCAGCACAGTTAACCCTTTGATCTCCCCTCATATTAACCTGAGGATGCCAGTGACATCAAGTCAGTCCCCCCCCCCCCCCCCCCCCCCCCCCCCCCCCACCCCCCCCCCCCCCCCCCCCCCCCCCCCCCCCCCCCCCCCCCCCCCGCACCCCCCCCCCCCCCCCCCCCCCCCCCCCCCCCCCCCCCGTCTGCTGCAGTCCCGCTATAAGTCACTGATCACCACCATTACTAGTAGAAAAAAAAATAAATTCCCAGAAGAAATACCACTATTTGTACACGCTATAAAACTTTCACGTAAACCAATTAATTTACACGTATTGGGATTTTTATTTTTAGCAGACACGGAGCGGAATACATTTTGGCCTAAACTTATGACGAAATTTGATTTTTTACATTTTTTTTTACTGGACATGTCTAATAGCAAAAAGTCAAAACTATTCTCACAATTTTTCTTTTAGGCTCCATGCAGACGGGGCGTTTTGATAACGCTGGTAATGTTAGCTGTGTACAGTCACGTTAGCGTTTATCAGCTTTTTCACGCATTTGCGGTTTTAAAAAAAAAAAAAAAAAATGTAATTTTGGTCAAATATCATCCAAAGACGCCGGTTTTTGTCATTTGTAGACGCTCTAACTTTCACGTAAACCAAATAATTTACACATATTGGAATTTTTGTTTTTTTTTTTTTTTTTTAGCAAAGCCATGGAGCAGAATGTGACAAAATTTGATTTTTAAATTTTTTTTTACTGGGCATTTAATAGCAAAAAGTCAAAAAAAAGTTCACAAAATTTTTTTTTTTAGGCTCCATGTAGACGGGGGGGGGGGGCTTTTAAATAATGCTGGTAACGTTAGCTGTGTAAAGTCACGTTAGCGATTTTGCATTAGCATTTAGCAGCTTTTTCCCGTGTTTGCGGTTTTTAGCATTTTTTTTTGTTCTTTAACCACTTGCCGTCTGGCCGCTGTTTATTCGGCAGGACGGTGGCAGTCCAGGGGCTGTTTGTCATTCATAAACAGCACCTGCATTTTCAAGCTGTGCACGCTGGTGGAACACCGATCGTCATACGGGACCACTGTGTGAGGTGCCAATCAGTGATCACATGCAGAGTAGTAAGCAAGATGTCACGTCCCACGTCATTGCTTACTACGTGTGAAATCGGTGAATGCTCACAGAGGTCACATGGTACAGGGCTATTCACAACAGCCTTGTACCATGTGACAAGCTGTGACCATTAAATACCAATGATGTACCGAGCTCCAATATAGTCAACCTTAAAACTACATCCCCCAGAGGAAGCTACGAGTCCCTGTAGCGTAACGCGTAGGGGAGGGGCGGTGACGTCATCACGCATCCACAGAGGAACGGCGAGTATATTCACTGAAGGCAAACACACCTGCAAGGCTGTCTGTAGAACTATCTGGATACATTTTTACACAATGCGAGTGGGAGATCAAAGCATAATAAATGATCGTTATCCCGGATAAGGCACTATGTTTCTTTTCCCTTCTCTGTATGTTCCGTATATGGAGGAATAAACCAAGCAGCCAGCGGAGAAAGTCCTATTGAGAAGGCTGAGCTGAGGAGAGAGGAGAGGAGAAAGGAGAGAGGAGAGGAGAAAGGAGAGAGGAGAGGGAGAAAGGAGAGAGGAGAGGAGAAAGGAGAGAGGAGAGGAGAAAGGAGAGAGGAGAGGAGAAAGGAGAGAGGAGAGGAGAAAGGAGAGAGGAGAGGAGAAAGGAGAGAGGAGAGGAGAAAGGAGGGAGAGAGGAGAGGAGAAAGGAGAGAGAGGTTCACGCAGTGAACACAGACTCATCACACAGATTAGATTGAACTACAATACCATCTCATTCCCAAAGAAGTGAACTGTTGTTCCCATTTCAAAATTAATTAATTTCTTTCTCATTTAAATCTTTTTCTCATATATGTTTTATTTATTTATTCTTTCACACCTATTAATTAATTTATATATTTAGGTATAACTGATTTATAAAATTACTGGATTATTGGTGGTACACTTATTAATTTATAATATCACATAAGGTTGAATATATTGGAGCGCGGTACATCATATGGTCACATTCATACACCTGGAGAGGGTGTAATAAGTACCTAGCGATCTAATATTTTATGAAATTTATTTAAGCACGTAATGAACTAATTAGTAATATTTTGGTAGTTCACATATATATTTTTTATATATTTTTCATGCACAAAATTGATCACAGATAAAGAAAACTTCTAGTGGCTCACAAGTAATTATCCAATTACAAGCTGTGACCAATCACACCTCACACACAGTATTTCTCAATGGCTGCAAGAAGGCAGCCAGAGAGGAGAAATTATTGCTTTTACAGCCTTTATGGGTGTAAAAGCAATCAGTGTAAAAAAAAAAAAAATATATCTTCATCACCCCCCACAAGTACAGTGTCATCATGGTGCTAGGGCGACAGTATCTAAAAAATAAAAATGTACAGAAATTTAGAAATTATAATTTTTGGTTATAAACTAATTTGGGTTACTTTTTTTTTACTAAAAAAAAAAAAAAAAAAAAAAAAAAAAAAAAGAAGATAGCTGAATACATTTTGGCCAAGATTTATGATGAAATATTTATTTGCAAAATTTTATAAGGAAAAAAAAAAAAACCCTCAATTTGACTTTCCATTTATATAGCAAAAAAAAAAAAAAAAAAAAATCCCAGTGGTGAATAAATACCACCAAAATAAAGCTTTATCGGTCTCAAAAAAAAAAATGCTAAGAAATTCATATGGGTATGGTGTTGCATGACCGCGCAATTGTCATTCAAAGTGGGATGGTGCTGAAAGCTGAAAAATTGGCCTGGGCAGGAAGGGGGGGGAAGTGTCCGGACTGTTAGTGGTTAACAAAAAAAAAAAAAACATCCAAAAATGCCAGTTTGTGACGTTTTAGTGTTTTTACAGCTAAAAAAAAAAACTCCTCTAGAAGCTCACTAATCCGGAGTTTTTTTTTTCCAAAAAAAACGTTGATTCCAGTCTATGTGTGTATGGACACCGAGGAGAACATGCTGGGAGGTTATTGGCTGTAGAAAAAAAAAAAAAAAAAACGTCAAAAACCAAAACACAGCTGCTGTAACAACGTCCCGTGTGTGTGAGGACTTAAAAGCGCAAAAATAAACGCACAGGAGATCAAATACCACCGAAAGAAATCTCAATTTGTGGGGGGGGGGGGGGGAAGCATGAATTTAATTTAGGTGCAGTGTTGCATGACCGCACAATTGTCAAAGTAACGCAGCGCAAAAATTGGCCCGGTCAGGGGGGGGGGGGGGGGGGGGAATACTCAGGAGGGGGGAGGAGTTAACAGGCATTTCATTCTTTACATAAGAAGACCGTTTTTTGCCCAGAAGGCCCTTACAATGGGTGTCCTCGCCGGCTGCCTGCTCATCCTCCATGTCACCTCCTACACACTCATGTTGCGGATCCACAAAGCGAGTCGAGTCCGACATTAGAGGGAACCAGTTTATTGAACGATTACATAACTGGAAGTCCTGAAAATTTTATTTAAAAAAAAAAAACTACTGACTGGAGGAGGCAGTAATATCTGAATGGGGGGAGAAGTGCAGCGACTGAGGGCGAAAATAATAAAACAAGGCGGAGATGTTAAAAGAAGTCTACGTCATCCGGTGCGTCCAGGTCGCGGTACTCGATGATAGAGCGCGGGTCTCCTCGCATCATCCTGTAGGAGGAACAAGGAGCATTTAGGAAATCAGAAGACGAAAGAACAAATAAAAAAAACGGGCTGAAGCACTGCAGGTCATCTCACCGGTTGCGTGGTTTGGGGTAGACGCCTTGGCCCCTGAAAGCGTCATATCCTCGCCCAGCGCCATACGGATTGGGGGGAAACTGAGGAGCTAAGAGAAGAGATGATAAAGGATTTCCGAATATTCCTACATCGTTGTCACCCCAAACCCAGTACACACTCACCTCCGTAACCCATCATCTGGGGCCGCGGCTGATTATAGGGCAGGAGGGCCTGGGGTCCCTGGTGGGGGTAAAGCAGTCCGGGGGCCAATCCTGAAAAACACAAAAAAACGAGTGTAAAAAAAATAATGATAATAATCTGGGGTGACACACTGAAGCTATGAGTCTGTCCTCCTCCTGCAGGGTGACACAGAAGGGGCTATGAGTCTGTCCTCCTCCTGCAGGGTGACACAGAAGGGGCTACGAGTCTGTCCTCCTCCTGCAGGGTGACACACAGAAGGGGCTACGAGTCTGTCCTCCTCCTGCAGGGTGACACAGAAGGGGCTATGAGTCTGTCCTCCTCCTGCAGGGTGACACACTGAAGCTATGAGTCTGTCCTCCTCCTGCCGGGTGACACACTGAAGCTATGAGTCTGTCCTCCTCCTGCCGGGTGACACACTGAAGCTATGAGTCTGTCCTCCTCCTGCCGGGTGACACACTGAAGCTATGAGTCTGTCCTCCTCCTGCAGGGTGACACACTGAAGCTATGAGTCTGTCCTCCTCCTGCAGGGTGACACACTGAAGCTATGAGTCTGTCCTCCTCCTGCGGCGGGGTGACATATAGAAGGGGCTATGAGTCTGTACTCCTCCTGCAGAGTGACAGAAGTGAGCTATCCCTCCCTCAGCTCAGTGACAATACAGGACATACCTTGTGCAGCAGCCACCGGAGGTTGGATGGGTTTGACCTCTGGAAGTGCTGGCCGTTTTGTGTCAATCAGAAAATTGTTGAAGAAGGCCACCTCCTTTTTAACCTCTTCGATCTTCTCGGCGTGTTTGTTGAAGATGTGTTTTCGGACAAACTCGGGACCCTGAGCAGACAGAACATCGGTATTGTTACCATACACTGTGGTGGGAGAGAGGGAGGAGAATAGGAGAGCAAGGGAGAGAGACGCTCCCACCTTCAACCCTGCCCGTAGCCACTCCCCCTCGACCCTGCGCTCTGCCCGTAGCCACCTCCACCCCCTCGACCCTGCGCTCTGCCCGTAGCCACCTCCACCCCCTCGACCCTGCGCTCTGCCCGTAGCCACCTCCACCCCCTCGACCCTGCGCTCTGCCCGTAGCCACCTCCACCCCCTCGACCCTGCGCTCTGCCCGTAGCCACCTCCACCCCCTCGACCCTGCGCTCTGCCCGTAGCCACCTCCACCCCCTCGACCCTGCGCTCTGCCCGTAGCCACCTCCACCCCCTCGACCCTGCGCTCTGCCCGTAGCCACCTCCACCCCCTCGACCCTGCGCTCTGCCCGTAGCCACCTCCACCCCCTCGACCCTGCGCTCTGCCCGTAGCCACCTCCACCCCCTCGACCCTGCGCTCTGCCCGTAGCCACCCCCCCTCGACCCTGCACTCTGCCCGTAGCCACCCCCCCTCGACCCTGCACTCTGCCCGTAGCCACCCCCCCTCGACCCTGCACTCTGCCCGTAGCCACCCCCCCTCGACCCTGCACTCTGCCCGTAGCCACCCCCCCTCGACCCTGCACTCTGCCCGTAGCCACCCCCCCTCGACCCTGCACTCTGCCCGTAGCCACCCCCCCTCGACCCTGCACTCTGCCCGTAGCCACCCCCCTCGACCCTGCACTCTGCCCGTAGCCACCCCCCTCGACCCTGCACTCTGCCCGTAGCCACCCCCCTCGACCCTGCACTCTGCCCGTAGCCACCCCCCTCGACCCTGCACTCTGCCCGTAGCCACCCCCCTCGACCCTGCACTCTGCCCGTAGCCACCCCCCTCGACCCTGCACTCTGCCCGTAGCTACACCCCCTCGACCCTGCACTCTGCCCGTAGCCACCCCCCTCGACCCTGCACTCTGCCCGTAGCCACCCCCCTCGACCCTGCACTCTGCCCGTAGCTACACCCCCTTGACCCTGGGGGAATGGCAACCATAATGCTGATGCGGGCCGTGATAAAATGGAGTTTAACACTCCTATTCTATATCATACAAAAGGGGTGTCTCTGGATTTCTTCCATGTTTGGAACTATTCTTAGAGGCCGTGCTCTCATATAGCCTCACTACAGACTCCATATTAGATCATCGGGTGGTGAAGCACCTAGATTTTATACTAATGTCACTAACACAGGGCTTGAAAAAGCAGCTCGCCAAATGCGAGGAGAAATTCCTGTGTGGCGAGCACAGATGATGGATAGAACTTCCGGTTTCCGGATTCTGCGGCACCATTATACTGGCAGCGCCACTGAGGGGACGGGTGCAGGAAAGGTCCGCTCTCCTCCGTTGAGAGAAGGCCCGCTCTCCAGCGCCTTGGGGGACACGTGAAGGAGAGGCCCGCTCTCCAGCGCCTTGGGGGACACGTGAAGGAGAGGCCCGCTCTCCAGCGCCTTGGGGGACACGTGAAGGAGAGGCCCGCTCTCCAGCGCCTTGGGGGACACGTGAAGGAGAGGCCCGCTCTCCACCGCCTTGGGGGACACGTGAAGGAGAGGCCCGCTCTCCACCGCCTTGGGGGACACGTGAAGGAGAGGCCCGCTCTCCAGCGCCTTGGGGGACACGTGAAGGAGAGGCCCGCTCTCCAGCGCCTTGGGGGACACGTGAAGGAGAGGCCCGCTCTCCAGCGCCTTGGGGGACACGTGAAGGAGAGGCCCGCTCTCCAGCGCCTTGGGGGGACACGTGAAGGAGAGGCCCGCTCTCCAGCGCCTTGGGGGACACGTGAAGGAGAGGCCCGCTCTCCAGCGCCTTGGGGGACACGTGAAGGAGAGGCCCGCTCTCCAGCGCCTTGAGGGACACGTGAAGGAGAGGCCCGCTCTCCACCGCCTTGGGGGACACGTGAAGGAGAGGCCCGCTCTCCAGCGCCTTGGGGGACACGTGAAGGAGAGGCCCGCTCTCCAGCGCCTTGGGGGACACGTGAAGGAGAGGCCCGCTCTCCAGCGCCTTGGGGGACACGTGAAGGAGAGGCCCGCTCTCCAGCGCCTTGGGGGACACGTGAAGGAGAGGCCCGCTCTCCACCGCCTTGGGGGACACGTGAAGGAGAGGCCCGCTCTCCACCGCCTTGGGGGACACGTGAAGGAGAGGCCCGCTCTCCACCGCCTTGGGGGACACGTGAAGGAGAGGCCCGCTCTCCACCGCCTTGAGGGACACGTGAAGGAGAGGCCCGCTCTCCACCGCCTTGGGGGACACGTGAAGGAGAGGCCCGCTCTCCACCGCCTTGGGGGAAACGTGAAGGAGAGGCCCGCTCTCCACCGCCTTGGGGGACACGAGGAGAGGCCCGCTCTCCACCGCCTTGGGGGACACGAGGAGAGGCCCGCTCTCCACCGCCTTGGGGGACACGAGGAGAGGCCCGCTCTCCACCGCCTTGGGGGACACGAGGAGAGGCCCGCTCTCCACCGCCTTGGGGGACACGAGGAGAGGCCCGCTCTCCACCGCCTTGGGGGACACGAGGAGAGGCCCGCTCTCCACCGCCTTGGGGGACACGTGAAGGAGACCTGCCAACGGTGCACATCACTATACCAGTTACCGTATTTGCCGGCGTATAAGACGACTTTTCAACCCCTGAAAATCTTCTGAAAAGTCGGGGGTCGTCTTATACGCCGGTATACGGCGAGCCGGTGTGTCAGGGCGGCACTTTTTCCAGGGGCGGTGTCCTCCAACGGACACTAAGTACAGGGGTGGGCAGAGGGGCTGCTGTACCTTACCTGGCTCCGGTCCCGGTCCCACGATGATCCGGTCCAGGAAGCGCGGCTGCTCCTCCTTTCAGTTCGGCCGCTCGATGGTCGCGCTGCCGCTCGGCTCCGCCTCCTCACCGGTGATTGGGCGCCAGCGCACACAGGCGAGGAGGCGGAGCCGAGCGGCCCTGCAAAAATCAAGCTGCCGAACTGAAAGAAGGAGCAGCTGCTCCTCTGCCCCACTGACACCAACGATGGGGCACTATTCCTCCCCCACTGACACCAAACATGGGGCACTATTATTCCTCCCCCACTGACACCAACCATGGGGCACTATTTCTCCTCACCACTGACACCAACGATGGGGCACTATTCCTCCCACTGATACCAACGATGGGGCACTTTTCCCCCCACTGACACCAATGATGGGGCACTATTCCTCCCACTTACACCAATGATGAGGCACTTTTCCCCCACTGACACCAATGATGGGGCACTATTCCTCCCACTGATACCAATGATGAGGCACTATTCCTCCCACTGACACCAATGATGGGGCACTATTCCTCCCACTGATACCAATGATGGGGCACTATTCCTCCTCCACACTGACACCAATGATGGGGCACTATTCCTCCCCCACTGACACCAACGATGGGGCACTATTATTCCTCCCCCACTGACACCAACCATGGGGCACTATTCCTCCTCCCCACTGACACCAACCATGGGGCACTATTATTCCTCCCCCACTGACACCAACCATGGGGCACTATTATTCCTCCCCACTGACACCAACCATGGGGCACTATTCCTCCCCCACTGACACCAATGATGGGGCACTATTATTCCTCCCCCACTGACACCAACCATGGGGCACTATTATTCCTCCCCCACTGACACCAACCATGGGGCACTATTATTCCTCCCCCAGTGACACCAACCATGGGGCACTATTATTCCTCCCCCACTGACACCAACCATGGGGCACTATTCCTCCTCCCCACTGACACCAACCATGGGGCACTATTATTCCTCCCCACTGACACCAACCATGGGGCACTATTCCTCCCCCACTGACACCAATGATGGGGCACTATTATTCCTCCCCCACTGACACCAACCATGGGGCACTATTCCTCCTCCCCACTGACACCAACCATGGGGCACTATTATTCCTCCCCCACTGACACCAACCATGGGGCACTATTATTCCTCCCCCACTGACACCAACGATGGGGCACTATTCCCCCCACTGACACCAATGATGGGGCGCTATTCCTCCCACTGACACCAATGATGGGGCGCTGTTCCTCCCACTGACACCAATAATGGGGCACTATTCCTCCCACTGACACCAATAATGGGGCACTATTCCTCCCACTGACACCAATAATGGGGCACTATTCCTCCCACTGACACTAATGATGGGGCACTATTCCTCCCACTGACACTAATGATGGGGCACTATTTCATCCACTGACACCAATGATGGGACACTATTAGTGTCAGTGGGAGGAATAGTGCCCCATCATTGGTGTCAGTGGGAGGAATAGTGCCCCATCATTGGTGTCAGTGGGAGGAATAGTGCCCCATCATTGGTGTCAGTGGGAGGAATAGTGCCCCATCATTGGTGTCAGTGGGAGGAATAGTGCCCCATCATTGGTGTCAGTGGGAGGAATAGTGCCCCATCATTGGTGTCAGTGGGAGGAATAGTGCCCCATCATTGGTGTCAGTGGGAGGAATAGTGCCCCATCATTGGTGTCAGTGGGAGGAATAGTGCCCCATCATTGGTGTCAGTGGGAGGAATAGTGCCCCATCATTGGTGTCAGTGGGAGGAATAGTGCCCCATCATTGGTGTCAGTGGGAGGAATAGTGCCCCATCATTGGTGTCAGTGGGAGGAATAGTGCCCCATCATTGGTGTCAGTGGGAGGAATAGTGCCCCATCATTGGTGTCAGTGGGAGGAATAGTGCCCCATCATTGGTGTCAGTGGGAGGAATAACGCCCCATCATTGGAATACCATACTGAAATAGCATACCATATTGAAATCAAATCTGATGTTTTTTCATTTTTATTTGGTGTGCGTTGGAAGAGGGGTAGTCCTATACGGCGAGTATAGCTCAAACCCTGTATTTTAACAGGAAAAGTAGGGGGTCGTCTTATACGCCGGTAAATACGGTATGTTACTAAAGTCTCTTTTTAAAGATTCAGGAGATAAAAAAAAAATACAAAATGTTGACTGCAGGTTTAAAGCTGTAAAACTTGATATTCTGATTGCACCGTATTGCTGTTATGTTTACATTGACATAATAAAGATATGTTATAATTGCAGTTTTTTATATTTTGGACTCTTTATTCTAAAGAAAAATGTAATTTCATAAGCTTTAAGGGGGCGTGGTTGAAAGACAGGCCGGGGGTGGGGTTGGAGGTGGACCTGGGCAAGGTTGTGTGGGACAACTGGTGGAGAGTAAGGTTTGTGCCTGGCTAGTAGGTCTAGACTCAAAATTTTAAACCCTGCACTAAGAGTGTGGAAAAAGCGTATGGCCCCAACCCTTTCCCCAGCCCCTCTTCCCTATAAGAGGATCTGAACCCCTGGAGGAGTTTCCCCGGGTTTCCTGATCATGTGATCCATCTCTTGGTTCTTCTTATGTGACCAGGAGCTGTTGGTGACGGCCATAGTGCTAGGGGCGTTGGCTTCAATTTGCACCCAGCACAACACAGGTACATATGTGGCAGAATGGAACAAGGCCCACCTCCATCCCATCCCATAGAGGAGGCCGGTTACGGGGGGCCAAAAATCTGGAACGGAGTTTTAATTACTCATCCTGGCCAGTGCTCAGACAATTCAGGCCAACAAGAAGACTCTTGTCTCCATGGTGCCCCAACGACTGATGAAGGGGTTAGCTGCCCAGGCTATGCCTGCACACTGACCTTGAATTTCTTGCCACTCAGAGGACACAGCCATTTCTCTTTGCCCAGCTCCTGGGTGTTCGCCGTCACAAACTTCTCCACTTCCTGTTCCGGATCCTTCTTCCCAATCTTCAGCGCCTCTTCCTCAGACAAACTCTCCCGAACAGCAAAGAGAGGGGCAAGCTTCTCCTCAAAGGTCTTCTGCCAGTCGGCCACTGAGAGGAAAAGACAGTTACCTGATGTGTTGTCAACACAACCTTTTCTGCACTTCAGCTACGTACCACGCACGTCGCTGGAGTTTGAGCCGTTATACCGGGATGACACCCACAGCTGCAGGCATCACCCTGGCACCATTTAGAGGTGTTTGGCTCTCTTGTAATAGCAATCAGAGCAGCTAATTAGCTGCTCAATTGAAATTACAACCCACGGCTGTAACGGAACCGTCCCAGCCTGCGCCGAGTACTTCCATTAGAATACCGGTTCCCCGTCCGAACACCGACCACAGACACCACAGCTGACCATACAAGACTAGACAACACCAGTCTTGAAGTAAAACCAGGAAACAGACTACTTTATTTTAACACAGATACAAGATATATACACTCAAGGGAACAACCTCCCCTCCCTGCATAATGACACAGGGCGGGGCAATCTACCTTTAGTAACGAGAGACACCAGCACACAGTCCCATCAGGAGGGAGGCTGCTGGAGACACTTCCAACCAAGCCAATACACAGACACATACATCCCATAATAGTTTGCTCCCAAGCCAGACACACAATAGAACAATGGGATGCAGCCACATGGTATTAACAAATGAGCAACCCCCCACCCCAATATTAGGACAGATCACCCTGTACCCCTAACAGGCACAGGGTGACTTACACATAAGAAGGATATGGGGAGCTGAGACAGGGGTCTCCCCACCTCTCCAAAGTGAGCTGTGTTCCATGGGCCCCCCACCCAAAGTGACTCCCATCACAGTGGCTTTAACAGGATCTCCCGTCCCACCAGGAGTCTTGATCGACCAGCTGGCACTCCCACCGGCTGATCATAGAGCCAAACAAAGACCAGATCGGCTATGTTCTCCCAGAAGGGATGACCTTACAACACTTTTGATTTACTTGGAAATACACAACGCCATTTTTTTTGCAGAGAAGGGATCTGGGGTTTTATTCAATAAAGAGAATTCGAGTATCGGCTGCTCACCCCCAAAACAGAAAAATACCCCCTTGGGACTTTAATGCAGCCTAAATACCACACATACATCGATATATATATATATACACATACAGTCAGGTCCATAAATATTGGGACATGGACACAATTCTAACATTTTTGGCTCTATACACCACCACAATGGATTTGAAATGAAACTAACAAGATGTGCTTTAACTGCAGACTGTCAGCTTTAATTTGAGGGTATTTACATCCAAATCAGGTGAACGGTGTAGGAATTACAACAGTTTGCATATGTGCCTCCCACTTAAGGGACGAAAAGTAATGGGACAATTGGCTTCTCAGCTGTTCCATGGCCAGGTGTGTGTTATTCCCTCATTATCCCAATTACAATGAGCAGATAAAAGGTCCAGAGTTCATTTCAAGTGTGTTATTTGCATTTGGAATCTGTTGCTGTCAACTCTCAAGATGAGATCCAAAGAGCTGTCACTATCAGTGAAGCCATCATCAGGCTGAAAAAACAAAACAAACCCCTCAGAGAGATAGCAAAAACATTAGGCGTGGCCAAAACAACTGTTTGGAACATTCTTAAAAAGAAGGAACGCACCGGTGAGCTCAGCAACACCAAAAGACCCGGAAGACCACGGAAAACAACTGTGGTGGATGAGCGAAGAATTCTTTCCCTGGTGAAGAAAACTCCCTTCACAACAGTTGGCCAGATCAAGAACACTCTCCAGGAGGTAGGTGTATGTGTGTCAAAGTCACCAATCAAGAGAAGACTTCACCAGAGTGAATACAGAGGGTTCACCACAAGATGGAAACCATTGGTGAGCCTCAAAAACAGGAAGGCCAGATTAGAGTTTGCCAAACGACATGTAAAAAAGCCTTCACAGTTCTGGAACAACATCCTATGGACAGATGAGACCGACATCAACTTGTACCAGAGTGATGGGAAGAGAAAGAGTATGGAGAAGGAACTGCTCATGATACTAAGCATACCACCTCATCAGTGATCATGGTGGTGGTAGTGTCATGGCGTGGGCATGTATGGCTGCCAATGGAACTGCTTCTCTTGTATTTATTGATGATGTGACTGCTGACAGAAGCAGCCGGATGAATTGTGAAGTGTTTCGGGAATATTATCGGCTCATATTCAGCCAAATGCTTCACAACTCATTGGACGCTTCACAGTGCAGATGGACAATGACCCAAAGCAGACTGCAAAAGCAACCAAAGAAGTGGAATGTTCTGCAATGGCCGAGTCAGTCACCTGACCTGAATCCGATTGAGCATTTCACTTGCTGAAGACAAAACTGAAGGGAAAATGCCCAAGAACAAGCAGGAACTGAAGACAGTTGCAGTAGAGGCCTGGCAGAGCATCACCAGGGATGACACCCAGCGTCTGGGGATGTCTATGCGTTCCACACTTCAGGCTGTAATTGACTGCAAAGGATTTGCAACCAAGTATTAAAAAGTGAAAGTTTGATTTATGATTATTATTCTGTCCCATTACTTTTGGTCCCTTAACAAGTGGGAGGCACATATGCAAACTGTTGTAATTCCTACACCGTTCACCTGATTTGGATGTAAATGCCCTCAAATTAAAGCTGACAGTCTGCAGTTAAAGCACATCTTGTTCGTTTCATTTCAAATCCATTGTGGTGGTGTATAGAGCCAAAAATGTTAGAATTGTGTCCATGTCCCAATATTTATGGACCTGCCTGTATATGGAAAAAAAAAAGTTTGTATACTTTATATAATTTTACAAAAATACCTAGAAAATACACAGCGACTGGATGATGCCGGCTACACAGTAGACAGTGTCAGTTTTGAACCCATTCACACTTGTGCGACTTGTCGTGATTTTGGACAACAAAGTCACATGACAAATCGTACCTCATGGTTTCCAATGTTAACCATTTACATAGGTGTGAGTTAAACTCGCAGCGACTTCAGAGTAGTTCATGCACTACTGTGGTCCGACTTTCATGCAACTTGAGAGCTGCAGACTTCTATGTTAATCCTCAAGTGTTACATGAAAGTCGTACCTGAATGTTTTACATGCCAACAGTGGTTACAACTTTGCAGGACAAGTCACATCCAAGTCGCACCATCCAAAGTCACGCAACCTTGGAGTCCTACAAGTGTGAATGGAGGCAAGAGAAATGGCCTGTTCCTGTCAGTGCTGGCAGCCCAAATAGATTTTTCCTAGTGGGTTCCTTTTAAGGAGGAACTTGTCATACTTGCCTGTCCTGGGATCCAGCATCCAGGTCTTCTACCGAGAGTCGGCATTGTGGCCAGTTTGGTGGTACCTCTCCTGATCAGCATTGTGGCCAATCAGGAAACAGTCTGAAAAGGGGTAGGCAATGCGTGTCTCAGAATTCACTACGTCTAAGAACAGCCCCTTGCTGCAGTATACTTACCCGTGTCCTCCACGCTCTCTCAGCCTAGTAGGCTTCACTTTTCCACTGCTCCTCTCCTGTGTCCCAGTGCACCCCAGACCACCCTATGTCATCCAGCGACCCAAATGCCCCGTGACTGCAGTGCACCCAAAGAATCGTGTCATCTAGAGACCCCCAAACTCATCTAGTGACCCCATTGTACCCACTTTGGCTCCAGTGCCATCTAGTGAGCTCCGTGGACCATAGAGTATCCTGTGTCTTCTGGTGACCCCAAGTGTATCCCTGTCACTCCAGTGCATCCTAATTCATCTAGTGACCCAACTGTACCCCCTGTGACTCTAGTGCAGGCAAATTTATCACATGACCCCAGTGCACCCTCTAACTACAGAGAATCCTGTGTCTAGTGACCCCCATTGCGCCCCAATTCTTCTGGTGACCCCCATTGCGCCCCAATTCTTCTAGTGACCCCCATTGCGCCCCAATTCTTCTAGTGACCCCCAGTGCGCCCCAATTCTTCTAGTGACCCCCAGTGCGCCCCAATTCTTCTAGTGACCACCAGTGCGCCCCAATTCTTCTAGTGACCACCAGTGCGCCCCAATTCTTCTAGTGACCACCAGTGCGCCCCAATTCTTCTAGTGACCACCAGTGCGCCCCAATTCTTCTAGTGACCACCAGTGCGCCCCAATTCTTCTAGTGACCACAGTGCGCCACCAGTGCGCCCCAATTCTTCTAGTGACCACCAGTGCGCCCCAATTCTTCTAGTGACCACCAGTGCGCCCCAATTCTTCTAGTGACCACCAGTGCGCCCCAATTCTTCTAGTGACCACCAGTGCGCCCCAATTCTTCTAGTGACCACCAGTGCGCCCCAATTCTTCTAGTGACCACCAGTGCGCCCCAATTCTTCTAGTGACCACCAGTGCGCCCCAATTCTTCTAGTGACCACCAGTGCGCCCCAATTCTTCTAGTGACCACCAGTGCGCCCCAATTCTTCTAGTGACCACCAGTGCGCCCCAATTCTTCTAGTGACCACCAGTGCGCCCCAATTCTTCTAGTGACCACCAGTGCGCCCCAATTCTTCTAGTGACCACCAGTGCGCCCCAATTCTTCTAGTGACCACCAGTGCGCCCCAATTCTTCTAGTGACCACCAGTGCGCCCCAATTCTTCTAGTGACCACCAGTGCGCCCCAATTCTTCTAGTGACCACCAGTGCGCCCCAATTCTTCTAGTGACCACCAGTGCGCCCCAATTCTTCTAGTGACCACCAGTGCGCCCCAATTCTTCTAGTGACCACCAGTGCGCCCCAATTCTTCTAGTGACCACCAGTGCGCCCCAATTCTTCTAGTGACCACCAGTGCGCCCCAATTCTTCTAGTGACCACCAGTGCGCCCCAATTCTTCTAGTGACCACCAGTGCGCCCCAATTCTTCTAGTGACCACCAGTGCGCCCCAATTCTTCTAGTGACCACCAGTGCGCCCCAATTCTTCTAGTGACCACCAGTGCGCCCCAATTCTTCTAGTGACCACCAGTGCGCCCCAATTCTTCTAGTGACCACCAGTGCGCCCCAATTCTTCTAGTGACCACCAGTGCACCTCACCTTATCAAGTGACCCAACTGTACCCCCTGGGGTTCTAGTGCAGGCAAATTCATCACATGACCCCAGTGCACCCTGTAATTACAGAGTGTCCTGAGTCTTCTGGTGGCCCCAGTGCCCCCCCAATTCATCTAGTGGCCCCAGTGCCCCCCCAATTCATCTAGTGGCCCCAGTGCCCCCCCAATTCATCTAGTGGCCCCAGTGCCCCCCCAATTCATCTAGTGGCCCCAGTGCCCCCCAATTCATCTAGTGGCCCCAGTGCCCCCCAATTCATCTAGTGGCCCCAGTGCCCCCCCAATTCATCTAGTGGCCCCAGTGCCCCCCCAATTCATCTAGTGGCCCCTTGTGGCTCTAGTGCAGGTCAATTTATCACGTAACCCCAGTGCACCCTGTAACTACAGAGCATCCGGTGTCATCTAGTGACCCCCATGCACCATACAGTATAATGTGTCTTGTGGTGACCCCAAGTGCATCCCTGTCATTCCAGTGCATCCTAATTCATCTACTGACCCCAGTGCACCTCACATCAAGTGACCCCATTGTACCCCCTGTGGCTCTAGTGCAGGCCAATTCATCACATGACCCCAGTGCACCCTGCAACTACAGAGCACCCTGTGTCTTCTGGTGACCCCAAATGCAACCCTGTGACTCCAGTGCACCCACCTCATCAAGTGACCCCATTGTACTCCCTGTGACTCTAATGCAAGTCAATGCTTCACATGACCCCAGTGCACCCTGCAACTACAGAGCATCCTGTGTCATCTAGTGACCCCAAGTGCATCCCTGTGATTCCAGTGCACCCCAATTCATGCAATTCATGCAGTGCACCCCAATTCATGCAGTGCACCCCGGACAGCCTCCAATATGCTTCTGCATCACCTGAGCAGTCCTCGGTGAATATGGACCTCTGTCTGACAGAACGAAGGCGTTAAGTACAATAAAGTTGTGAATTTTAAACTGACTGACGGCAAACCACCAATTCCTTGACCCGTGAGGAGGATGCAGCCTAACATTCGCTCCGCTGCTTACCTTCTCTGTGGGAAACTCGATTGGGCGGGATGGGCCCTCGGACGTGCATGATTCCACAACGGGTCGGCATCTCGTCTTCGCTGGGATAGTCGCAGGTGATGTAATAATCTACGGAATGTACGATACGCAGGTACAGGAGCAGCTTGTCCAGGACCTGTGCAGACAAGACATTCGGATGAACAATGCAGTGACACCGGTGTGTTCGATCAGCACACGGACTACCGCGGTCTGTACCTTGATCAGCTTGTCATCTCTCTCCACCGTGATCTCCGTCGGATTGCCTTCCTTTGGAGGTTCGGCTCCAGCTGTCCTTCCTGCACCCCACAGCAAGTCCTCCTCTTCAGCACTAACCTCATCTATGAGGTAATCTGTGATGTTCTTCAGGATAGGGTTCTGTGCTGCCACCTCCTACAAACAGAAGGCAATAAATGGTTGGACAGCAATTCATCCAATCACATCGCTGAACTGGTTTGGTGGATCTGCTCCACTTTTAGGTCATTGTATTGATCTGCATTACCTATTATTTTTGTAGTATACCGACATCTAGTGGCAGTTTTGGGGCACTACAACTTGTTTACTAATGAGATTTAGGTATCTTCCTGTTCTTCCCTCCTATTTAGAGCTAGTTAGTCTAGTGTTCGCTAGACCCTCTACACCTCATCCATCAAAATCAATGTTTAAGTAGAACTATAGGCAAACCCCCCCCCCCCCCTCCCTTTTGGATAGAGCGGGCGGTCAGCAACCAGTAAACCTCAGCCAGGTGACTGGTAGATCTTGGTCTGGGCTTGCTGACCTGCATCAGAGTGCAATGCACAGAGACTACTTGAAAAGTTGGATCACTAGTAAGAAGCAAGAGCCATATAAGTTGAGGTCTCCTCCGTAGCTCTGTCACGGCTTCGGGGTGTAGCACTTGCCAAACACGACCCATTCAAATCAATGAGGCCACTCTGCAAGTGCCCTGCAAACAAGGGGTTAAACAGGCAGCGGTGTGTTGCTCACACGTTTTAACCCCTTGGACCCCGCAGAAGCATGCAGTTGCAGGGCACTGGCAGAGTGGCCCTATTTACTTGAATGGGTCTCGAATGACAGGCGGTAGCACCTACCAAAAGCAACAGGGGATGTAATGCCTGCTGCAGCATCTCTATACCTTTGGCTGCTGCCTCAGCAGCTAAAGGGGGTAGGGATTGGGGGCGGTAAAACCATGACTCAACCGCAGGGTTTTAACACCCCCCAACTTTACATGTGAACGAGCCCTAAGAGTGTTGCTGCCGGATGCAACTAAAGGCTCATTCACAAGTGCAGCGGACCCTACTGCTCCTCTGCAAAACGATCTGAGTGTGTGACAGGTGGTGAGGAGGCGGTATGTTGCCTCAACACTCGATTTAAACTCGTGATTTTACAGCAAAGCACACGATTGTGACACGGAAGTACTGCAAGTAGAGGTTTGAATCAGGTGTGAGGAAGCGACACCAACAGACAATGTGCCGGTGATCTTTGACTTCTCCCATGTTGTTCAGGTAGATCTTCACCTCTAACCGCCTCCCACCAGCCATATAAGGTAATGATGGGTGCAAGGCGGTTCCCTTGTTCTGGGAGGAGTCATATGGCGCCCCTCCCATTCTAACCACGTGTGCGCGGCTCCGGGAGCGCACAGCGCGGCGATCGGTGGTACGTTGTGTCCCTCGGACACAGCGGATCACCGATCAATGGAAAGAGCCGAAGATGTCGGCTCGGTCATGTGATCAGCTGTGTCCAATCACAGCTGATCACATGTAAATAGGGAAACGCTGGTTATCGGCATTTCTCTCCTCACGAGCCGTCACGCTGACAGAGGAGAGGAGAGCCGGGAATCGGCATTCTGCAGAGGGGACATCTACACTGATCATCAGGGCACTGATGATCAGTGTAGCCCCAGCAGTGCCACCTGTCATTGTGCTTCAATGCCAGCTGTCAGTGCTCATCAATGCCACGTATCGGTGCCTACCAGTGCCCAATGCCACGTATCGGTGCCTACCAGTGCCCATCAATGCCACGTATCGGTGCCTACCAGTGCCCATCAATGCCACGTATCGGTGCCTACCAGTGCCCATCAATGCCACGTATCGGTGCCTACCAGTGCCCATCAATGCCACGTATCGGTGCCTACCAGTGCCCATCAATGCCACGTATCGGTGCCTACCAGTGCCCATCAATGCCACGTATCGGTGCCTACCAGTGCCCATCAATGCCACGTATCGGTGCCTACCAGAGCCCATCAATGCCACGTATCGGTGCCTACCAGTGTACATCAATGCCACATATCAGTGCCTACCAGTGTACATCAATGCCACATATCAGTGCTTACCAGTGTACATCAATGCCACATATCAGTGCCTACCAGTGTACATAAATGCCACATATCAGTGCCCATCTGAGCTGCCTTTCAGTGCCGCCAGTCAGTGCCACCTAACAGTGCCATATATGAGTGCTGCCTTTCAGTGCCCAGTGATGCCTGTCAATGCCCATCAGTGCCACCTACCAGTGCCACCTCAGTGCCAGTCAGTGCAGCCTCATTAGCACACATCAGTGAAGGAGAAAAAAAATCACTTTAAAAAATTTTCATAACAAAAACTAAGAAAAAACTGCAGTTTGTTTTGCATTTTTCTACACGTTTTTTACCGCGTTTCGCATTTTGTTCAAAATTTTCAGTTTCTTGGTTTGGTTAGCAAAAAATAAAAACCCCGAGGTGATTAAATACCACCAAAAGAAAGCTCTAGCTCAAAAAAAAAAAAAAAAAAATGCTACAAATTTCATATGGGTACAGTGTTGCATAACTGCGCAATTGTCATTCAAAGTGTGGCCATGCTTAAAACTGGCCTGGGCAGGAAGGGGGTATAAATGCCCGGTAGGCGAGGGGTTAAGGTTGCCTACCCCCCCGGATGAAGCAAGGAAAGGTTATAACCCATATCAGATTTTTTTTTTTTTCCCGTCTGTCTCCCATTGGGGAGATTTCCCTTCACTTCCTGTCCCATAGCCAAACAGGAAGTGAGAGGAAATCCCTGCAAAGTTAAGGGAATTCCTTGGGGACCTCCAAGTCTCTAGAACTAGTGTCCCCATTGGAAGGTTTCCCCTCTCTTACTTTTCCAGGGGACAACCCAAAATTTGCGGTGGGGCTGTGGGGGGGGGGGGAGCAGCACACAGTTTTTTTTTACCTTCACGCATAGAATGCATGAGGGTAAAAAACCTTTAGCCTTTCCAACCACTTTAATGTTTTTCCAAAGCAAAGTACTATCTTGTTACACTTTAAGAGACTGGAAAAACATCCTCTGTGCTGAAATCGGCTGACAATCGTATTGGATTCAACTTCTGTGTCCTATTGAAAGAGTTAAACTGCCTGTGGATAGTGCCAAGTCAGGAGGTGACCATTTTGCCTGGATGTACCGGGTCTAAGGAGGCATTGTCATTGCATAAAGCAGCATTTAAATAAAACAGAACGTCGGAAGTCTCACCTGGCCATCTTGTGTCTCCATCCACAGCTGTCCCCGCTCGTCCAGGGCATGGATGAGTTTGGCGGCCAGCTTGATGTCGTTGCGCAGGATCGGTCGGTGCTGTGTGATCCCGTTCACATGCCGGATTCGCCAGGACAGCTCTCTGTTCACCACTGGGCTGAGCTCACAATCACGCAGCTGAAAATAAAACACAATGAGACTGCGAGGGGTGACATACAAAGCATGGAAAGTGAAAGCGACGTCATCAGGGTATCGGAAGGAACACAAAGGTTACTAGAGGCTGAGGACCAGAATCCAGGACCAGGCTTGGTATGCAAGAAGCAGCACCAGAAATTAACATCTGGCATGTGCGTAGTAAATAGCTTCTAATAAACATGGATATTATGTCCGTTGTCATGTTTCACATGACTGTCATATGCCTTTAAGTGTTCTCTGTATTTTGTCTCTGCTCCTCCCTTTCCTTTGGTTTAGTTCATGCTGTATAGATAGCCCCACCCCTTTTTCCCAGTAATGCATTTCAGCTTCAAGCCTCATGTCATGAAGTAGATCACATTATGATCTTTTGACCTATCCGATGGTCATTGTAAGATTCTCTCAGTTTATGGAATAAACTTCACAAGATCTAGAAAGTGTCGTCTGGATTGAGTCACTGCCTGTGATATCCAACTAAGATTGGAGTTATCGCTATCTCATCACAACTGCAAGTTACAGAGATCACACTATCAATGCTTAGATTGGAGAGACAGAACAGCCGTGTTTTACCTCCATCTGCACCCCTATGCCATGAAATGTCACAACAGTTCTAGGTTATAGTTCTGAGAGGACAGAAAACGCTTTGGCCGCTTTGACATGGGCCTTCCGTATGTCCGTTCTTCATCTGTCCGTTAACGGATGAAATCCGGACCCCCATGTATTTCTATGGACTTGTGGATGTAAACGGATGAACATCTTTTTACATCCGTTAATGTCTGCATCAGTTAACTTTTTTTTTTTTTTTTTAAAATGGAAGGAAACCCTATTTTTCTTCTGCCAAAAAAAAAAAAAAAAAATGAACGGACGTAAAAAAAAAACACACTTTTTTTCAAAAGTTTGTCTTTTTTTCATTTATTTTGTGATTAAAGCGGCGTTCGGCCCCTCCCCTCCCCGAAAGCATTAAAAGTCAGCAGCTACAAATACTGTAAATGCTGACTTAATATTTTATTTATTTCAGGTACTTATATATCGCTGTCCATTTACACAGCACTTTACATATATATTGTACATTCTCAGTCCCTAACCCTCAAGGAGCGTACAATCTAAGGTCCCCAACCCTCAAGGAGCGTACAATCTAAGGTCCCCGACCCTCAAGGGGCGTCCAATCTAAGGTCCCCAACCCTCAAGGAGCGTACAATCTAAGGTCCCTAACTCACATTCATACATACACATCCTAGGGACAATTTAGACAGGAGCCAATTCACCAGCGTGTCTTTGGAGTGTGGGAGGAAACCAGAGTACCCGGAGGAAACCCATGCAGGCACAAGGAGAACATGCAAACTCCAGGCAGGTGGTGCCATGGCTGGGATTCGAACCAACGACCCTTGTACTGCCAGGTGGAAGTGCTAACCATTTAGCCACTGTGGTGCCCAGGGATCCAGCGGTGTCCTCAATTCTTCAATTAGCTGTCGGAGGCTGGCACCGCCATCTTGACTAAGGGAAACCGACGGTGAAGCCTCGTGGCTTCACAGCCGGTTTCCTATTGCTCATGCGTGAAGAACGCTGCACTTTGTGAATGGGCCGCAGTCCACTTCACGGGTCCCAAAGCTCTGTGGGAGGACAACGACTCCTGGCTCACAAGCCAGAGGTACCAGTCAAAACCAGGTAGCCACACCCCCCAAAAAGGTACCAAATGTGGCAGCAGAAGGAGGAAGATAAGCGGAGCTTTCACTTTTGGGTGGAACTCTGATTTAGATGCCACCAAAACATACCCTCTGTCTTCTCGCAGGTCCTCAAGTGTAGGTTCTCCATCACCAAACACAAAACGATCTGTAAAGCTCTCCCACAGCAATCCAGGGCCACCAAAGTCATATCCCTCCGGAGAGCATTCAGTTGTCACCCCTAAATATTCCTGCTCTGCGTACCATTTCAGAGCCCGATATCTGTTGTCCAGCTCTATCTCCTGCTGGACCAGCCTGTCCAACTCAGTCACCCATTTCTCCTGGGGTCGCTCTTCCAGGAATGGCATCCGTAACTCCCATTGGTATGTTGCAAGAACGGCCCGCAGCAGCCCTGGGAACTCTGATGCCAGGTCCATATCTCCACTGGGGTGACCGACGTCTACTTTCCTCATCTTGAATCTCGGTGGTGGTTTGGACGTGTTCATATTTTGGAAGCACAATCCCACCGCTTGCCACCAATGTAACGGAACCGGACCGCGACTGCACTGGGGTATTTCCATTAGACTCCCGCTTCCCTGTCCGAACACAGATCCACGGACACCACCGCTGACCAAACAAGACTAGACAACACCAGTCTGTCTATACATGGAACTCTATTTTAAACTCAAACAGGCTTTTTATACAATTACACACAGAATGATCACATGATCATATGCAAACGCAGCTATATACAGAAATAGACTTCACACTCTAAACAGTAAGTTCATTAGGTTAGCTAGATGGGTGATGGAAACAAAAGATGAACAGGAATTCACACCTAGACAATGGTTGGATGAATTAGGATCTCACTACAGAGCACACGGTCCGGCTTCTTCAATTCACATGTCTAGTTCAGAATCAGCAACCAGGAATAGTCTTCATATGGCTGATAAATATTACTGTTCCATCTGAAGTCATTCCAACCGCATTCTCAGCGTCCATCAGTCACCCTGTGCCCCTAAGAGAGACAGGGTGACTTACACATAGGAGGGATATGGGGAGCTGAGACAGGAGTCTTCCCACCTCTCCAAAGGGGGCTGTGTTCCATGGGCCCCACACCCAAAGTGAGTCCCATCACATATCTCCCCTTTCAGCAGGAGACTAACGCAGGAGGAAACCCCGGACAGGTGGACTCCGAAGTTAGTCTGTACTTCCAGTCCCCCAATGCCAGCACCCACACAGTACCCCAAGCAAATGGTCCCACACAAAGCATTACTCACCCAGCCAACCTCTGCCTCTCTCGTAGAACATACCCGCCTCTGGAGAGAAGTACGGACTGGTCCTTCTCCCTGAAGTCCTCTCATCCACTGGAGAGAAGACAGGGTGGCTGGGCCGGCTCCATCATGCTGTTCGGGATCTGGGCCGACTGCCCAGCTTCCCTGGGGTATCCAGGCAGTGACTGTAGTTGCTAGGCGGAGGCCAGCGGCGCTCTGTCCTGTTGCCAGCACTTCTGCTGGGGACCCCACATCTGCTCCAGCTAACCATAGGGGAGGGACGCCGGCTTCCTCCACTCCCAGACTGTGATCTGCTGCTGGGATGGCATTCCTCTGTCACTGTCCCCCTGGTGCACAAATCCTGGCTTAGGAGGGAAGACAGTTTCTGGCTGACTGTGGAGGAGGGAGGACAACAACCTCCTCTCCCTTCTCCCCCTGGGCCTCTGAAACTACCACAGGTGTGGGGCAGAGGTCCTGGACCCTCTGTCTGGTTGTCAGCGCTTCAGCTGGAGAAGTTTCTTCTACCTCCAAAGCTGCCGCTGGCAAGAAATCCCATGTCCCTGCCAGTGGTGTAGGAGAAAGACCGTCCACCTCTTCTCTCAGGGGGACTGAAGCTGTTGGTACTGGGAAGAGCTCAGCAAAGTGTGGCTCTGTTGCCAGCTCTTCTGCTGGAGGCTCGCCGGCTTGTTCCTTCTCAGCAGAAAAGTCAATCAAATCCCCAGTCTCTGTAACTGGTGTCTGGGATAGGGGTTCACCATCTCCTGTCCGTGGAACCCAGAAGATGTTACCAGTGCTGGGCAGAGTTCAGAAATGTTTGGCCCTGTTGCCAGCTCTTCTGCTGGAGGCTCACCAGGTTGTTTTTCCTCAGCAGAGAAGTCTATCAAATCCCCAGTCTCTGGAATTTCCACTGCCGATTCTTGGGTATGCTGCTGAACATGTTTTAGCAGTTGCCTGTACGCACTTTCCAGATCCTGTTCTTTCATCAGCAGGTATTCCAGATCTGGTTCCTCTGAGACCCCTGTGAGACCGAACTTAGCCTCTGTCTTCTCACAGGTCCTCAAGGGTAGGCTCACAGGTCCTCAAGGGTAGGTTCTCTTTCATCGCCAAATAATCTGTAAGGCTCTCCTACAGCAATCCAGGGCCACCAAAGTCATATCCCTCCGGTGAGCATTCTGTTGTCACCCCTAAATATTCCTGTTCTGCGTACCATTGCAGAGCCCGATATCGGTTGTCCAGCTCTATCTCCTGCTGGACCAGCCTGTCCAACTCAGTCACCCATTGCTCCTGGGGTCGCTCTCCCAGGAATGGCATCCGTAACTCCCATTGGTCTCTGGCCCTTTCCCCTGGGGTTGGATAGCACTTGCCCTTGTACATACCAGCAACCTAGAAAACTCCACTCCACAGCAGCACTCTAATCCACTGCCTGAGATCCAGGTACTCATCCGCAGACACAGTCCTGGGGTATGCTGCAAGAACGGTCCGCAGCAGCCCAGGGAACTCTGATGCCAGGTCCATATCTCCACTGGGGTGACCGACGTCTACTTTCCTCATATTGAATCTCGGTGGTGGTTTGGACGTGTTCATAGCTTAAAAGCACAATCCCACCGCTTGCCACCAATGTAACTGAACCGGACCCCGACTTCACTGAGGTATTTCCATTAGACTCCGGCTTCCCTGTCCAAACAGAGATCCACGGACACCACCGCTGACCAAACAAGACTAGGCGACACCAGTCTGAGTTTAAAATAAAGAGTTCCATGTTCAGACAAACAGGCTTTTTATACAATACACACAGACTGATCACATGGTCATATGTAAAGGCAGCTATATACAGAAATAGACTTCACACTCTAAACAGTAAGTGGATTAGGTTAGCTAGCTGGGTGACCTAAACAAAAGGTGAATGGGAATTCACACCTAGACAATGGTTGGATGAATTAGGATCTCACTACAGAGCAGACGGTCCAGCTCCTTCTATTCACATGTCCAGTTCAGAATCAGCAACCAGGAATAGTCTTCATATGGCTGATAAATATTACTGTCACATCTGAAGTAATTCCAACCGCATTCTCAGTGTCCATTAGTCACCCTGTGCCCCTAAGAGACACAGGGTGACTTACACATAGGAGGGATATGGGGAGCTGAGACGGGGTCTTCCCACCTCTCCAAAGTGAGCTGTGCTCCATGGGCCCCCCACCCAAAGTGACTCCTGTCACAGACTGTAAATTGTCAAAGTGTGACAGAGCTGAGAATTGGTCTGGGCAGGAAGGGGGTGTCAGTTATTGAAGTGGTTAAACAAAAAAAAAAAAAAAAAAAAAGGAGGTCAAATTGCATTAACCACTTGCCTATCGGGCAAATTCTTACATTTCTCTCCTACATGTAAAATCATCTTTTTGCCTAAAAATTACTTAAAACCCCCAAACTTAACAAATGCCCTAGAGAATTAAATGGCGGGTGTTGCAATTTTTTTGTCACATGGCATTTACGAAGCAATATTTCAAACGCATTTTTTTGGGGGAAAAAAATACACTAATGAATTTTAATGCAAACAAAACTAAATACCAGACCAAGAGACACAAAAAGACCCAGACCAGACCAAGAGACACAAAAAGACCCAGACCAGACCAAGAGACACAAAAAGACCCAGACCAGACCAAGAGACACAAAAAGACCCAGACCAGACCAAGAGACACAAAAAGACCCAGACCAGACCAAGAGACACAAAAAGACCCAGACCAGACCAAGAGACACAAAAAGACCCAGACCAGACCAAGAGACACAAAAAGACCCAGACCAGACCAAGAGACACAAAAAGACCCAGACCAGACCAAGAGACACAAAAAGACCCAGACCAGACCAAGAGACACAAAAAGACCCAGACCAGACCAAGAGACACAAAAAGACCCAGACCAGACCAAGAGACACAAAAAGACCCAGACCAGACCAAGAGACACAAAAAGACCCAGACCAGACCAAGAGACACAAAAAGACCCAGACCAGACCAAGAGACACAAAAGACCCAGACCAGACCAAGAGACACAAAAAGACCCAGACCAGACCAAGAGACACAAAAAGACCCAGACCAGACCAAGAGACACAAAAAGACCCAGACCAGACCAAGAGACACAAAAAGACCCAGACCAGACCAAGAGACACAAAAAGACCCAGACCAGACCAAGAGACACAAAAAGACCCAGACCAGACCAAGAGACACAAAAAGACCCAGACCAGACCAAGAGACACAAAAAGACCCAGACCAGACCAAGAGACACAAAAAGACCCAGACCAGACCAAGAGACACAAAAAGACCCAGACCAGACCAAGACACAAAAGACCAGACCAGACCAAGACACAAAAGACCAGACCAGACCAAGACACAAACAAAGACCTATGCATGCATTCACTTCTGTGGAGATGCATGAGAGGACAGGTGCTTTTTTTTTTTACCACTTTTATTCCTAATCACAAGAAATGTAAACATCCTTTGTGATAGAAATGAGGCATGACAGGTCCTTATGGAGACATCTTGGTTCTCTAAGACCCCAGATGTCTCCTCTACCGTGGAAAGCAAGAGATAAAAATAAATAAAGCTCTCTGCTTTCCGGGAAAAAAACCCAAAAAAAAAAAAAAATATGGTAGCGTCTACATCTGAATTGGAAAGTGGTAATGTCATGACGTCGTTTCCTGCCTCCAAGGATCATAGAGATGATCAGGAACCATCTGGTCCTCAGACAGCTATATAGCAACCTAGTGGCAATATCAGATTGGATACGAGGCTTCCTTTGCACATGGCGGAGCCCGGAGAGGCACCGGTGGGGGAAGGATGTTGCGTCTTCTCTCGCTGCCTGTTAAAAGCAATCCAGCAGGTAATCAGCCACTAGGATGGCTTTTACAAAAGACGGATTTACTGGCTGCAAGGAAAGAACGGAAAGCCAAGTTTGTCCATAAACGTCCACCCGTCGTGAAGTGGTTAAAAAATAAAGAAAAAAATCAAGATTTCTAAAAATGTATGACCGGCCAGGAATGAGAAGGAAGAGATTAATACATACCCGAATGTTCTGCAGATTCCAGCAGATCTCCTTAATGTTGACCCCTCGATCAAAACGTCACGTAACCCTTGCGGAGAAACCTGCAAAACGATCAGAGTCAGGGGTGGAGCCGATACATTATTGCTTTGGGTGCTGCTGGGTTGCTTTTGCATTCACATTATTTTTTAGGAGAAGCCTGGCAGCTCAGAAGCAACAGTTGGGTCCATATATATTTGGACACAGGCACAATTTTAGTTTTTTTCAGGTATTTACCAAAATATTCAAGCTCTAGTTCTATGATGGATATGGGCAGACAGTGCGCACTCTAAGGTGTAATTTGAGGGTATGTACATCCAAATTGGAGGAAGGGTTTAGGAATTATAGCTCTTCAGAGTAGCCATTGTCCAATTGAATCAAAAGCTGTTTCATGGCCAAGTGTGGGCTACTCCATTATTTCTTCATCAATTAAGCAGGTAAAAGGTCTGGAGTTGATTCTAAGTGTGGTATTTGCATTTGGAATCTATTGCTGTGAACCTCCATTATGCGTTCAAAGGAGCTGTCCATGCAAGTGAAACAGGCCATTGTAAGGCTTCAAAAACAAAAAACAAATCCATCAGAGAGATCGCAGCAACATCAGGAGTGGCCAAACCAACAGTTTGGTCCATCCTGAGGAAAGAAGAACGCACCGGTGAGCTCAGCAACATAAAAAGGCATGGAGGTCCACAGAGGACAACAGTGGTGGATGATCGCAGGATCCTCTCTATGGTAACATCCAGACCAGTGAAGGACACTCTCCAGGAGGTGGGCATATCATTGTCAAAGTCTACAAACAAGAGAAGACTTCATAAGAAGTCAGAGGGTTCACCACAAGGTGCAAATACAGAGGGGTCACCACAAGGTGCAAATACAGAGGGGTCACCACAAGGTGCAAATACAGAGGGGTCACCACAAGGTGCAAATACAGAGGGGTCACCACAAGGTGCAAATACAGAGGGGTCACCACAAGGTGCAAATACAGAGGGGTCACCACAAGGTGCAAATACAGAGGGGTCACCACAAGGTGCAAATACAGAGGGGTCACCACAAGGTGCAAATACAGAGGGGTCACCACAAGGTGAAAACCATTCATAAGCCTGAAGAATAGAAAAGCCAGATTAGACTTTGCCAAAAATCACCTAAAAAAGCCGGACCAGTTCTGGAAAAGCATTCTTTGGATGGACGAAACTAAGATGAATCTGTACCAGAATGATGGGAAGAAAAAAGTGTGGAGAAGGCTGGGAAAAGCTCATGACCCAAAGCACACAACGTCATGTGTAAAAGATGGCGGAGGCAGTGTGATGGCATGGGTGGAGGCAGTGTGATGGTATGGGCATGCATGGCTTCCAGTGGCACTGGGTCAGTGGTGGTTATTGATGATGTGACAGAAGCAGCCGGGTGAATTCTGCCCTGTTCACAGATATACGGTCAGCCCAGATTCAGCCAAATGCAGCAAAGGTGATTGGACGGCGCTTCACAGTACAGATGGACAATGATCCAAAACACACTGCAAAAGCAACCCAGGAGCTTGTGAAGGAAAAGAAGTGGAATATTCTTCAATGGCCGAGTCAATGGCCTGATCTCAACCCCATTGAGCATTCATTTCACTTGCTGAAGGCAAAACTAAAGGCAGAAAGACCCACAAATAAAAGAACGACTGAAGACAGCTGCAGATAGAGCCTGGCAAAGCATCAGAAAGGAGGAAACCCAGTCTTTGGTCATGTCCATGGGTTCCAGACTTCAGGCAAAGCATCAGAAAGGAGGAAACCCAGTCTTTGGTCATGTCCATGGGTTCCAGACTTCAGCCAAAGCATCAGAAAGGAGGAAGCTCAGTTTTTGGTCATGTCCATGGGTTCCAGACTTCAGGCAGTCATTGTCAGTAAAGGATTCTCAACAAAATATTACAAATCAACATTTTATGAATATATTAATTTGACCAATTACATTTGAGCCCCTGAAAATGGAGGGACTGAGTATAGAAATGGTTGCAGTTCCTAAAATGTGTACTTGATATTTATGTTCAACCCCTTGAATTAAAGCTGAAAGTCTGCACTTCACATTCATTTGGATTGTTTCCTTTTTATTCATTCTGGTGGCATACAGAGCCGGAAGTATGAAAATTGTGCCTGTGTCCAAATATATATGGACCCAACTGTATAGCCTAGACTGCTCTTCTGGTAGCCAAATGTAGCCCCCCCACCCACCTACCCAGTTAGGCCTTCCCTTTTCTCACCTCCTCTCAGGCTGAGGGTCAGACAGCGCCACCCGCAGGAATCCTGGGTATCGCTTACACAGCTGGAAAAAGAACAGCGAAAGAAAATAAGATCAGCTGAAGGAAAACACAGCATGAATAAACGCTGACTGAACCCCAATCACTCCTTCAGCCCAATGACTGCCCAAGTCTAGCCAACTTCACCGCCATAACATTTCCAAAATATGCTCCTTACACACCAAGCTATTTATTGCCTCCGTTGTTACATCTCACCTCAACTAATGCCATCGGCTATAGGTATGAACCATTTGCAAACCTCCAAAAGCCTGGCCGAAAAAACTCCCAGAGATGGTATAATCCCGTCCTGCCATGTTGCTAAGACGTTGCTAGGACACTCCCAGCCAATTCAATCCCCTCCACATGTATCCCCTCCCTTGTCACAGTAGCTCTGAGCTCAGCAATGCTGTTGTGAAGGAGATAATGGAAAGGTTTGAGAGCTCGCTCCTGTGGTGGTGAGCTGTAATGGTTGGGTGCGTCTTAGCAACATCCTAGCAACAAGGCACGACAGGGTGATGCCAGCACTACTAAGCACACAGGAGAACCCTAATGTATACACAGGTAATGATCTGATCACATTCACAAAATGCAATGTAGCTAGGACAGACGCCCTCAGGATGGGGTTCTCACCGCAGTGATTTCGGCCTTGGAAATGTTGGGGGCCACGTTCCTCATGAAGAGGGAGCAGGTCTTGTGTAAGGGGCGGGGCTTCACTACATCCTCCTTTGGTTTTTTCTTTTGGCTTCTCCTCTTCTTCCTTCTTAGGGGAATCCTCTGCCCAATCAAAACAATAACAGCTTAGTTAGACAATAAATCCTCCCTCTGGCCTTGTCTTCAATTGTATTGTATCCTCTCCTGGTCTGAAATGGCTCAATGATTTCACCGCACACTCTGAGCTCCTCACAATGTGCATTAGAAGCTGCAGTAAGTCAGATAGAGCTCCGCCTCCTCTCCTGGCTGGAGGACATCCAGCATTATCTAGCCCCACCAGCCTGACAGTCCTTAGCCCCTCCCTTTTCATTGGATTTCAGTACTTGCAATCGTGGAGGTTCCATGCAAATGTCTAGGAAGGCACAGGAGGATGGAAGCAGGCATGTCTCCTCCCTTACCTGCTAGCATCAGAGCTGAGGGATTGACAGAAGTACTGAGGCAGGGTGCTGGAATGTTTTCAGGGAGCCATGTACAGCACCTCCCACCAGCCATGATCAACCTGCATGGCATAGAGAAGCACAAGGACCCAGTGATTACTTCACTGGATTGAAAAGAAGGCATGTAAATGAAAAAAGAAAGGTTTTAAAAAATGTCATTAGCATGTTAATGAGGGAGAGGGGTGGGATGGCTTTTGGGAGGAGTTATGCAAATATGAAATGAATGTCCTAGATTGTAAGCTCCCAGGACCAGGTCCTCCTATCCCTCTTGTATTGAACTGTATTGTCTCCCATTATATTGTAAAGCGCTCAGCAAACTGTTGGCGCCATAAATCCTGTATAACGTCAGTCTGGAGGAGATCGCATTCTTAGGCAGACTGCCTTAAGCCACGCCCACATGTGATGCTGAGCTATGTTTGAAGGAGCTGAAATCCAATGAAGAAAGAAAAGGCTAGATGATGCTGGAAGTCCTCCGGCTAGAAAATAAGATGTCATTTTGGTGAGTAGGAATCAGGGGAGGCAAAATGTAAGGCTCCGTTCACATCTGTCCAACTTGTCATGCGACTCTGGACACTAAAGTCGTATGACAAGACGTACCCCATGTTTCTCAATGACAACCATTCAAATATGGACGCCTTAAAAGTTACCAGTAGTTCCTGCACTACTTTGGTACGACTTTCATGCAACTTGAGTGCCATAGACTGCAATGTAAACACTCAAGTCGTGTGAAAGTTGCAGCTGAATGTCATACATGCACCGGCTGTCCACCATCATTAAAGCGGAGTTCCACCCACTCAAAAAAAAAAAAAAAAGTCAGCAGCTACAAAACCTAGCTGCTGACTTTTAAAAAACAGCCACTTACCTGTCCCACGATCCCACGTTGCCCCCGCCGCAGCCCGTTTCACCAGCCGTCCTGTATTCCAGGCACCATCTTCAGTGTGGGCTTCCTGCTGTGACAGCTTGCGGCTTGACAGCCGGGTGCCCACTGCGCATGTGCGAGGAGTAGCGATGCGCTTCCTGAACGGCCGCGTCTTCTGGGACCTGTCACATGTCCCACAAGACTTCAGGGAGGGAGGGTAGGACAACTTCCGTTTCCCATCACCTAGGCGATCGCAGCGGGAGTGGGTACCTGTCAAATTCGGGTACCCGTTCCCCCCCCCCCGCTCCCCAAAGGTGCCAATCCTTAATGGGGAGTGGGGGGACCAATCTTTAAAGCAGAACTTCCCCTTTTTAGTGGAACTCCGCATTAATGAAAGCCAAAGTCGTATACAGGAGAGGACTGACCATTTGGAAACTCGGGCACTGCCCTAGGGGCCCCATGAGATGCCCCTGGTACCTTTTTCATAGGCTTTTTTGAGTTTGGGCAAGGACACAGGGACCCCATGATCCACTAATGCCCGGGGGCCCCATGAGTTGTCAGTCCAGCCCTGGTGGTATACAAGTTGCACCCATCCAAAGTAGTGTCAAACGAGTGAATGGAACCCAAAATAACCGCTTGCCCACCACCTTGTAGTAGTGCTGCTACAGGGCGGCAGGGCTGCGCAAAATCACGTATATATACACAAACACGTGACTTGTATTTCCGGGTAGCGGGCACGCCACCCTACCTGCGCCACTACTGGCGGCCAGGGATGTCAATCACCGGGTCCCGGCCGACACTCGGCGATCGTTGGGTAAAGCCGACAGGGGAGAGACGTGTAAACAGCACAGGTCTCCCTCCTGTCAGCAAGGACATGCTGCTTTGCATTTCTCTGCACAGCATGTCTCCCAAGTACAACAGAGCACACAGTTAACCCTTTGATTGCCCCAGATGTTAACCCCTTCCTGCCCAGTGCTATTAGTACAGCGTCAGTGCTTTTTATTAGCACTGATCACTGTATTAGTGGCACTGGGGATGTCAGTGGCAGTCAGTTTCCCCCCCCCCCCCCCCCCCCCCCCCAGTGTCAGAATGGCCACCGCAGTCCCGCTATAAGTCGCCGATCGCCGCCATTAGTAGTAAAAATTAAAAATCGCAGTATCTATACCGCCATTTGTAGACGCTATAACTTTCACGTAAACCATTTACACATATTGGGATTTTTTATTTTTATTATTTTAGCAAAGACACGGAGCAGAAGACATTTTTTTATTGGATATGTTTTATAACAAAAAGTTAAAAATAATTTTTTTTTTTTCAGCAAAGTTGGTCTTATCGTTTATAGATCAAAAAAAAAAAAAAAAAAAAAAAAAAAAATTAAACACAGGCGATCAAATACCACCGAAAGAAAGCTCTACTGTATGTGTGGGAAAAAAAAAAAAAAAAAAGACAAATTTCATTTGGGTGCAGCGTTGCATGACCGCACAATTGTCAGTTAAAGTAATGCAGCGCCGTATCGCGAAAAATGGCCTGGTCGGGGGAAGGGGGTGGGTTAAACCCTCTGGAGGGCAAGGGGTTAAAATGCTGCTGCCTTGCCCATGCAGGAAAAATGTAAAGAGGCTGAAACATCTATAAAGGTTTCTACTGCTTTCCCCTTCTAGTCCTAGTGACATCAGGGATGGAGCATTCATCACGGATGGGGGGAGCACATTTGTGTGAAGAATTTTGGAGCAGACTTTTTTTGGGACGGAGCACAATTTATAGAATTTGTGGACTTTATATATAATTTTTTGGGGGACTTTTTATTTATAGTATTTTAATTTTTATATATCATTTTATTTGCGCTGTGGAGTGTTTAAAATTGTTGGATTGTTTTTTTTTTTTTTTTAGAACAGCAGCATTTACATTTCTGAAAATTTATATACATTTTTCTGTGGCGCAAATTTATATTTCTTTTGTTCTAGTGACATCCGCACACATTTCTTATCCTGAGGTCACCAGAACAGGTACAGAGAGCAATAAAAACTTAGGCTGGCCATACACTATACAATTTTCTGTCCAATTTCCTTTAGATTTACCTTCAGCTACAGGGTGATTGAACAGTAACTGCCTATTTTAAACTATTTACAAATTTTTTTGTATGAAGTTACTTTTTTCTCAATTCTTTAACCTCCCTAGCGGTATTCCCGAGTGTAGCTCGGGGTAAAATGTCAGTACCAAAAGCGGTAACCCCCCCGAGCTACACTCGGGCTTACCATGCGGCGCTACATAGGGAGTCCCTGCAGACCTTACCTTGTCCTTCGCTCCCGCGATGCGTCCCCTGCAGCGTTCCCGGCCATCTCCTCCGGCTGATGCCGGCATCCGGCTCCTGTGTTCCGGTCCCTGTGACGTTGGGACGTACGGGCGCCGCCGGCGGCGGGAAATTAGAAAATTTTTAAAAAATTTCATTTTTTTCCAAACAAATTTTACATTTAAACATTGCTGTTTCAACCCATTTCACATACATTTTGTCCCGAGTGCTTTGTCCGGCGCCCTGCCTGTATTTTTACTGTTCTTTCTGCCTGGAAACTGAGAAACGTCCATGGCGTCCAAAAAGCGTCCCTTTAGGTCAGACGCGGTTTTAGACCGGCTAGAGAACAGCGATAGTAAATCAGAACCACTTGCAGAATTGAGTGATAATGATTGGTGGGGGAAATTCCTCATCAGACACTGAAAACGATTCTGCGACTGAGCTCAGCGATGTGCGAACTTGGCGCTCTATTTCACATTTCAGTGATTTTGGTTTGATTATATTATTGAATTAAATGTATTATTTTTTATGATTATTTATTAAATTATAATTACGTGTTTCAAGTTTTATCCTCCCCGGGATGTTTACTAGACTCTTGTTCGGACAGATTTCAGGGAGTTATTCCTAAGAATTACAGGCCTACAATAAAGAAACTACATATTTCCATGCAAAAAAATGTACCGCTTTCAGCACCAAAAATCTGAAATAATCAGACCGCCAGGGAGGTTAATGTATGTTCCATAATCTATGACAATTAAATCTGCGATACCATGAATGCCGAAAGGTATCTCACTATGCCGCAAGATGAAATCTGGCCAGTGGTCAATACCTGGGAGAATATTGAAGACTTGATTTTGAACCCCTTTGCGCCGGACGCACACAAATGTGCGGCCTCCCGGGGTCTGGGCCTAGACGTCGAGCGGCCGCACAATTGCGTTCATGTAACAAAAAACATGTGCTGAGAGCGCGCGCCCCCAGCACACATGCGTGGTACTCACGAAAAGGTCCCGGTCCGCTCTTTCGATCGGGACCTTTCCTGATCATGTGACCGCCGTGATGACGCATCACGGCGGTCACGATTCCTAAACCACACCCCGCCTCCCAGCGTCTGAAACTCTTAAAGGGCCAGGAGGTGCTGGCGGGAAGGGGTTAAGCAAGGTGGTGCTCCCCCACATTTTGCTATTGTTGGTGAATGGCTGAATGAACATTTTCCTGGGAGACGGTTGGGTCGACGTGGTCCGCATGAGTGGCCGGCCAGAAGCCCCGATTTAACACCCTGCGACTTTTTTCTTTGGGGTTGGTTGAAGGAACAAGTTTACTCTACGAAACCAAAGACTTTAGAAGACATGAAGGGCGACTACGAGAAGTTATTTCTGCCGTCCCACAAGAGTTCCTGCGAAGATCAGTTGATGCGATGATTCCCGAGCGGCTTCAGAAGCTGCAGGCGAATGCTGGTGCACATATCGAATTTTAAATAAAACTCCATGTTATGTGTGTTCTTCTCATATTCATTTTTTTTGTAAAAAATAAGGATTAAAAAATAAATTATAATATTTTTAAAATAAGGGGTTACTTTTCAATCACCCTGAATGTAGTGCAATGGCCGGCCTAATTGGATACAATTGAAAGTGTTGTTTAGGTTGGACCTCATATGGTTTTTGGTAAATCTAAAGCAAAATTCTCAAAAACACAAATTGTACAATGTATGGCCTTACAGGCATGAAAAGTATGAAAGTCTTACGCTTCGGATAGGACCACACACACGATTAAACCTTGTCGGTAGTGAGATTTGACTGCATGATGACAGTTCTCAGATTCAAAAGGGGAAGACGGACTAAAACTGGAGCGCTCAGAATCCGGGGCAGCGGTGCATAGTAGCCAATCAGCTTCTAACTTCAGCTTGTTCAATTAACCCCTTAGTGACTAAGTAACAAACGTTAACCTCCCTAGCGGTCTGATTATGTCCATATTTTCTGCGCTCAAAGCGGTATTTTTTTTTTTTTTTGCATGGAAATATGTTTTGTTGTTTTTTTTTTTATTGTAGGCCTGTAATTTTTTAGGAATAACTCCCTGAAATCTGTCCGAACAAGAGTCTAGTAAACATCCCGGGGAGGATAAAATTTGAAACACGAAATTATAAATTATAACTTAATAAATAATCATAAAAAATAATAATATAATAATAATAATAATACATTTAATTCAATAATTTAATTAAACCAAAATCACTGAAATGTGAAATATAGCGCCAAGTTCACACATCGCTGAGCTCAGTCGCAGAATCGTTTTCAGTGTCTGATGAGGAATTTCCCCCACCAATCATTATCACTCAATTCTGCAAGTGGTTCTGATTTACTATCGCTGTTCTCTAGCCGGTCTAAAACCGCGTCTGACCTAAAGGGACGCTTTTTGGACGCCATGGACGTTTCTCAGTTTCCAGGCAGAAAGAACAGTAAAAATGCAGGCAGGGCGCCGGACAAAGCACTCGGGACAAAATGTATGTGAAATGGTTTGATACAGGAATGTTATACTATGTGATTTTAGTGAATGTCACTTTTACAACTTTCAAAATTTCCAGCCAGTTCCGTCCCCCGTACGTCCCGACATCACAGGGGCCAGAACCCAGAAAACAGATGCCGGCATCGGCCGGAGGACATTGCCGGGGACACCGCAGGGGGGGCATCGCGGGAGCGCAGGACAAGGTAAGTGATCGAGGGATCCCAGGGCAACGCTGCAGTGTATTCCTGAGTGTAGCTCGGGGGGGGGGGTTACTGCTTGTGGTGCTGAAACTTTACCCCGAGCTACACCCGGGAATACCGCCAGGGGGGTTAATGCCTGAACACAATTTTGCAACTGTGTCAGTAAAAACTGTAATCACTACAACTTTTGTGCATCCAGGAGGCTTATACCACATTTTCTTCTGGACAAATTGGGCTTTCAGTGGTAAATGGCAACATATCTCCTGATTTTTTTTTTTATCATCAAAAAAGGAAAAAAAAAAAAAAAAAAAAAAACAAACTTCAATTTAGTTGTACATTTCTTGCTACCGTTAATCTACCATCAAAGAAAAACCGAAAATAAATTCTGCTGCTGACGATCGCAGTGATACCGCATACGTTTGTTATTTGTTGTATGTACCCGTAGTACGGCCCAGAAACAATAGTGTGCATTTTGCTTTTTTTTTTTTAATCCAACCTAAAACATACTGAAAGTGAAAATTTTAAAAATTCTAGTTATTTTTTTTAATATAAAACTGACCTAGACCTTTAACACTAAGGCCTCTTTCACACCGACGGTCCGATCGGGTCCACCTGTCGGTTTTTCAGGCAGATCCAATAGGAGCATCCATAGATGTGTATGGACAGGCGGGTGTCAGCAGACAAGTGACACTCGCCAGCATCCAATCTGCCAAAAAACAGGGGGGATGGGGATCGGATGGCAGTCGGATGGAAATGGATAGGTGATCCGTTTCCATCTGACCGCCCCGTAGAAGACAGCGGGCTGTGTCTGTGTTGGCTCTGCAGCAGCGGAGCAGACGCAGAGCTGTCATCCACCTGCTCAGCAGAGATCAGCGGAGAGAGATCCCCCGCTAAGCAGGCGGAACCGCTAAAGGGTCCGCCCCGTCTAAATGTAGCCTAACCCTGGCACTGACCTAGATCTAACCTCGGTCTAGGACAGCAATGGGCAAACTACGGCCCGCGGGCCGTATACGGCCCGGCGGACCTTTTAATCCGGCCCGCGGAGCTAGGCTCCTCTCACAGTCCGCCCTGAAGACCGGTGTAGCATGAAAATCTGTCTCCTATGAGGATCTGTCCCCCTCGACGTATCTGCGCATGTGCCGGAGATCGCCGATCGGCTGCTAATGCCTGAAACTGGCACATGCGCAGATACGTCGAGGGGGACAGATCCTCATAGGAGACAGATTTTCATGCTACACCGGAACGGCGCGGGAACACGGCGAGAGGAACGCGCGGGAGCAAAGGTAAGTGAATTGACACATGGGGGATGAATTACTATAGGGGGGATGAATTACTATAGGGGGGATGAATTACTATAGGGGGGATGAAGAATTACTATAGGGGGGGGGATGAATTACTATAGGGGGGGGGGGATGAATTACTATGGGGGGGGGGATGAATTACTATAGGGGGGGGGATGAATTACTATAGGGGGGGGGGGGATGAATTACTATAGGGGGGGGGATGAATTACTATAGGGGGGGGGATGAATTACTATAGGGGGGGGGATGAATTACTATATGGGGGATGAATTACTATATGGGGGATTAATTACTATGCTTACTATGGGGGAATATTACTATACTTACTATGGATGACACATACACATTCATCTACTCTTGGTCCGGCCCCCGGGTCCAATATATGAACCCATTGCGGTCCTCAAGTCAAAAAGTTTGCCCACCCCTGGTCTAGGATGATGCAAGCGATGCTTTACGGTAAAACTGTTTTTCTCTTTAGGATCACTAAGCTTTGGCAATAGCACCTGGAAGCCGATTGGTTTCTATACAGAGCTGCACCACATTCTTCTGCACCCTCCCCCCCCATACTGATGGCAGTGTTCTGCAAATGAGTTCACAGCCAACAGGTACTTCAATCTCTCAGCAGCAAAGATTTCATTGCCAGTGTATCTCTGGGCTTACCGACCATTGCAAAAGTTTGGCCAAAGTTGGGTAAACTATAGATTTACTATACAGAATGTATGTTCCAGGCAGGACTCACCTCTCCCATTCTGCCCTTGACTCTCCTTCTCCCGCTGCGTCTCCTTCTCCCGCTGAGTGTCCTTCTCCCGGCTCTCTCGCTCTCTTTCCCGGCTCTCTCGCTCTTTTTCCCGGCTCTCCCTGTCCCTCTCTCGACTCTCCCTGTCCCGGCTCTCTCTGTCCCGGCTCTCTCGCTCTCTTTCCCGGCTCTCCCTGTCCCGGCTCTCTCGCTCTCTTTCACGACTCTCTCGCTCTCTTTCCCGACTCTCCCTGTCCCGGCTTTCTCTTTCACGACTCTCTCTCTCCGGTTTGGGGCTGCCGGGTTCAGAGCCCGATCCAGACTCCGAATCGCTGCCATCATCGCTGTCCCCGCTGCGCTTCCTCTTTCTCTTGGTCGACTGCAAAATAGAAAAAAAAACCACAAATCACACGAGTATAATGGACTCCCAGAAAGCTTTCTACAGAAGAAAAAAAACCAAAAACAAAAACAGAATCTTCAGTGGGTAAAGAATAAAAAATACTCCCCACAAGGAATTCCCCCCCCCCCCCCCCCCCTTTTTTTTATTTTTTAACTTTCCCATATAGATCTGTTAGACAGAAAGGAATGTATGTGACTGGGGTAAAAAGAATTAAAGGAAAGTAATAAAATACACTAAAAATTAACCACCAGCGTTGATCTAAAAAACGGAACATTAGAGTAGGGCCCTGTCCCCCCCCCCCCCCCCCCCCCCCCCCTCTATCGTACAGTGCTGAGTAAACCCTTTGGCGCTATATAAACGCAATATAATAACAACATTTGCACACTACTTGAACCAATATACGTTTTCCCAAACCCCATAGCTCCATCCACCCCCCACATCCGTCATCAGTGACTGGCTTCTTCATTGTCCTCTGGGGTCAGCCCACCAATGACATCCATGCCAGATCCAGTGCTTTGGTTTTGCCGTGGCTTTAGTGGCATTACCAAGCAATAGCAAAATAGAACAAAAAACATAAAACTGGGCTAAATTACCTAAAGAGCATGCTCAACCCAAGGAGCTGCAGCTTGTTAGTGTACACCTAGCTGAGCTTCTGTCACCTGACAACACAAGTGATAGAAGAGAATAATGTACCAATTCCCAAGATTTCATGAAATGCTACAGAAGTTCCCAGGAAAGTTCTGGTGACGTAGCCTTCCCAGGAGGTAGCTCCTTGGGAGGGGCAGAAGGGAGGACAAAGATATTGGGAAGTTTAACAACATTTTGACTTATCAGTGTAATTGGTTTACTGCTGAACATACAAAGCTGCAGGGGAAAGGTTAGCCATAAGTAGTAGGAGATCCCGATTGGTCATTACCAGCCATGGCCCACACGCAGGTCTCGCCTCACCCCCGGCCCACACGCAGGTCTCGCCCTCACCCCGGCCCACACGCAGGTCTCGCCTCACCCACGGCCCACACGCAGGTCTCGCCTCACCCACCCCCGGCCCACACGCAGGGGAAAGGTTAGCCATAAGTAGTAGGAGATCCCATTTGGTCATTACCATACCACGGCCCACGCACAGGTCTCTCCTCACCCCGACCCACGCACAGGTCCCTCCTCACCCCGGCCCACGCACAGGTCCCGCCTCACCCCGACCCCGGCCCACGCACAGGTCCCGCCTCACCCCGACCCCGGCCCACGCACAGGTCCCGCCTCACCCCGACCCCGGCCCACGCACAGGTCCCGCCTCACCCCGACCCGGCCACACGCACAGGTCCCGCCTCACCCCGACCCCGGCCCACGCACAGGTCCCGACCCCGGCCCACGCACACCCGACCCCGGCCCACGCACAGGTCCCGCCTCACCCCGACCCCGGCCCACGCACAGGTCCCGCCTCACCCCGACCCCGGCCCACGCACAGGTCCCGCCCCCCACCCCCCGACCACCGGCCCACGCACAGGTCTCGCCTCACCCCGACCCACGCACCCACGCACAGGTCTCGCCTCACCCCGACCCACGGCCCACGCACAGGTCTCGCCTCACCCCGACCACGGCCCACGCACAGGTCTCGCCTCACCCCGACCACGGCCCACGCACAGGTCTCGCCTCACCCCGACCACGGCCCACGCACAGGTCTCGCCTCACCCCGACCACGGCCCACGCACAGGTCTCGCCTCACCCCGACCACGGCCCACGCACAGGTCTCGCCTCACCCGACCACGGCCCACGCACAGGTCTCGCCTCACCCCGACCACCCACGCACAGGGCCTCACCCCGACCACGGCCCACGCACAGGTCTCGCCTCACCCCGACCACGGCCCACGCACAGGTCTCGCCTCACCCCGACCACGGCCCACGCACAGGTCTCGCCTCACCCCCGACCACGGCCCACGCACAGGTCTCGCCTCACCCCGACCACGGCCGACAGGTCTCGCCTCACCCCACGCACGGCCCGCCCTCACCCCGACCACGGCCCACGCACACAGGTCTCGCCTCACCCCGACACAGGTCTCGCCTCACCCCGACCACGGCCCACGCACAGGTCTCGCCTCACCCCGACCACGGCCCACGCACAGGTCTCGCCTCTCACCCCGACCACGGCCCACGCACAGGTCTCGCCTCACCCCGACCACGGCCCACGCACAGGTCTCCCTCACCCCGACCACGGCCCACGCACAGGTCTCGCCTCACCCCGACCACGGCCCACGCACAGGTCTCGCCTCACCCCGACCACGGCCCACGCACAGGTCTCGCCTCACCCCGACCACGGCCCACGCACAGGTCTCGCCTCACCCCGACCACGGCCCACGCACAGGTCTCGCCTCACCCCGACCACGGCCCACGCACAGGTCTCGCCTCACCCCGACCACGGCCCACGCACAGGTCTCTCCCGCCTCACCCCGACCACGGCCCACGCACAGGTCTCGCCTCACCCCGACCACGCCCACGCACAGGTCTCCCCTCACCCCGACCACGGCCCACGCACAGGTCTCTCCTCACCCCGACCACGGCCCACGCACAGGTCTCTCCTCACCCCGACCACGGCCCACGCACAGGTCTCCCTCACCCCGACCACGGCCCACACAGGTCTCTCCTCACCCCGACCACGGCCCACGCACAGGTCTCTCCTCACCTCTGTTACCTGAACAACACTTTTCTGTCTGGAGTTCTGAAAGAAGTCAGTCCAAATCCATACAGTCATTACTGTATACAGTCCATACAGGCAGCTCTGCCCTCACCCCAACCATGCCCCATAAAGGGAAGTCTCCCCTTATTCCTGCAGTATCCCAGTTGTAACCTGAATATCCCTCTTCCCTGTCTGTAGTTGTGTGAGGAGAATGTGACCATTGTGATATTTATTTGGTCATTACTATCTATGGCCCGTACAGAGACATGTGCTCCCACGCCCTCACCCGTGCAGAGATATGCGCCTTCACCATGGCCCGTGCAGAGAGAGATGTCCCCTGACCGCGACCACGGCCCGTGCAGAGAGAGATGTCCCCTGACCGCGACCACGGCCCGTGCAGAGAGAGATGTCCCCTCACCGCGACCACGGCCCGCGCAGAGAGAGATGTCCCCTCACCGCGACCACGGCCCGCGCAGAGAGAGATGTCCCCTCACCGCGACCACGGCCCGCGCAGAGAGAGATGTCCCCTCACCGCGACCACGGCCCGCGCAGAGAGAGATGTCCCCTCACCGCGACCACGGCCCGCGCAGAGAGAGATGTCCCCTCACCGCGACCACGGCCCGCGCAGAGAGAGATGTCCCCTCACCGCGACCACGGCCCGCGCAGAGAGAGATGTCCCCTCACCGCGACCACGGCCCGCGCAGAGAGAGATGTCCCCTCACCGCGACCACGGCCCGCGCAGAGAGAGATGTCCCCTCACCGCGACCACGGCCCGCGCAGAGAGAGATGTCCCCTCACCGCGACCATGGCCCGTGCAGAGAGAGATGTCCCCTCACCCCGACCATGGCCCATACAGAGAGATGTCCCCTCACCGCGACCATGGCCCATACAGAGAGATGTCCCCTCACCCCGACCATGGCCCATACAGAGAGATGTCCCCTCTCCCCGACCATGGCCCATACAGAGAGATGTCCCCTCACCCCGACCATGGCCCATACAGAGAGATGTCCCCTCACCGCGACCATGGCCCATACAGAGAGATGTCCCCTCACCGCAACCATGGCCCATACAGAGATGTCGCCTCACCCCAACCCTGGACCATACAGAGATGTCCCCTCACCGCAACCATGGCCCATACAGAGAGATGTTCCCTCACCGCAACCATGGCCCATACAGAGAGATGTCCCCTCACCGCAACCATGGCCCATACAGAGAGATGTCCCCTCACCGCAACCATGGCCCATACAGAGAGATGTCCCCTCACCTCCAACATGGACCATACAGAGATGTCCCCTCATCCCGAAAATGGCTCATGCAGAGAGATCTTCCCTCACCCAGATAGTGGTCCATACAGAGAAATCTCACCCCAACCATGGTCTATACAGAAAAATCCCCTTTCCTGGTCAAGGTCCAATCGAGGGAGCTACCCCGTCACCCCTCCTCCAGCTTTAACCTGAACATCCCTGTTCCCTGCCGGGAGTTATATGAGGACACAGCGGCTAGCAGTAGATATAAAAAGCTCCATTGTACCTTTCTGGTCTCCCGCTCCGATTCCTCCTTCTCCACCTTCCGCTCTTCTTCCTCTTCGGGTTTGGCTGGTTTTTCCTCCACTTCCCCCTCCTTCTCTGTATCAGTCTAGGAGACAAATTAGAACAGCTTCTCAATAAAACTACTCCACACTGAGCAAAGCAGTAAACGGTTGTGAGTTGAGCTCCCTGAATGACAAAAAGTGTTGTTTATATCCTTTGTAACGGGTGAGCAAACAAAATGCAGCCCCAGGACCTGAAACAGTCAGAATAGAACATCTGTGTGATCCCCGCTGCAGCCCCAGGACCTGAAACAGTCAGAATAGAACATCTGTGTGATCCCCGCTGCAGCCCCAGGACCTGAAACAGTCAGAATAGAACATCTGAGTGATCCCCGCTGCAGCCCCCAGAACCTGAAACAGTCAGAATAGAACATCTGTGTGATCCCCGCTGCAGCCCAGAACCTGAAACAGTCAGAATAGAACATCTGAGTGATCCCCGCTGCAGCCCCAGGACCTGAAACAGTCAGAATAGAACATCTGTGTGATCCCCGCTGCAGCCCCAGGACCTGAAACAGTCAGAATAGAACATCTGTGTGATCCCCGCTGCAGCCCCAGAACCTGAAACAGTCAGAATAGAACATCTGTGTGATCCCCGCTGCAGCCCCAGGACCTGAAACAGTCAGAATAGAACATCTGTGTGATCCCCGCTGCAGCCCCAGAACCTGAAACAGTCAGAATAGAACATCTGTGTGATCCCCGCTGCAACCCCAGAACCTGAAACAGGCAGAATAGAACATCTGTGTGATCCCGCTGCAGCCCCAGACACTGACAACAGTCAGAAGAGAACATCTGTGTGATCCCTGCTGCAGCACCAGACACTGAGAACAGTCAGAAGAGAACATCTGTGTGATCCCCGCTGCAGCCCCAGACACTGAGAACAGTCAACAGGAGAAGAGCAGGAACATTTCCTAATGATCAGGACAGCTTTTTTTCTTCTTCCAGGTTAAACATGCACCACCCCCCTCCCCCTCCATCCTCGGCAGCTTTACCAGGATCTCCCATCCCACCAAGGGGTTCCCGATCAACCAGCCGGGGTTTTCACCGGCTGATCAGAGCTGAGCACAGACCGGATCGGCTTTATTCGGCTCTATGATATAGTAATCCAGAGGCTTAAAAAAGAAAAGCATTTGATCACACTGACCTGTGTGTGAATAAATGCTTATACCCCCTTCCCGCCCACCGGGCACTTGTACCCCCTTCCCGCCCACCGGGCACTTGTACCCCCTTCCCGCCCACCGGGCACTTCCACCCCCTTCCCGCCCACCGGGCACTTCCACCCCCTTCCCGCCCACCGGGCACTTCCACCCCCTTCCCGCCCACGCCAATTTTCAGCTTTCAGCGCTGTCACACTTTGAATGACAATTGCGCGGGTCATGCAACACTGTACCCATATGACATTTTTATCATTTTTTTTGAGACAGATAGAGCTTTTGTTTGGTAGTATTTAATCACCTCGGGGGTTTTTATTTTTTGCTAAACAACCCAAAAACCAACTAAAAATTTTGAAAAAAAAAAAAAAACGTTTTAGTTTTTGTTATAAATTTTGTAAATAAGTGATTTTTCTCCTTCACTGATATGCGCTAATGAGGCTGCAGTGATGGGCACTGATAGGCTGCACTGATAGGTGCCCATCAGTGCAGAACGAGAGAAACCGCCTTGCGCCCGTCATTTCTTTATATGACAGGCGGAGGAGGGATTGGGATTTTACAGACTGTTGCTACACATCTGCATTTTACCGCCGCTCACCGCACCACACCTCCAGGCTGCATTGCTGTGCCAACAGGGCACACAGGTAACAGCAGTGAATGACATTTGTCAAGCGCGGAAAAAAAAAAACACCTCCAGTCACTGCATTCTACTTGAAGGAGCCCTTGAACTCTCGTCTTGCGTTTCCTGTCCAGTGAATCGTGATGGAGGTGGAGTTAAAATAAACGGACAACAAAATGCAGTAAACGGGCGAAACGGCACCAGGGTCATTATCATGGCTCCCACCTTAGCAGACGCCTCTTTCTCTTCGGCCGGTTTGGCGGCCCCGTCGGAGGTTCGGCCTTCCTCCTTCTTGGCGGCCTCTTTCTTGGCTGCTTCCCTTTTGGCCTGCTCTTCCTCCTCGTCTAAAATCTTCAAGTCGATTTCCGTTCCTCCCTCCATTTTTTATGACAGCTGTGACCGACAGACAACAAAAGATTAAGGAAGGCCAACACGTCCCCATTTATTTCAGGTACTTATATAGCGCCATCAATTTACGCCACGCTTTACATATATATTGTACATTCACATCGGTCCCCGACCCTCAAGGGGCGTCCAAGCTAAGGTCCCCGACCCTCAAGGGGCGTACAATCTAAGGTCCCCGACCCTCAAGGGGCGTACAATCTAAGGTCTCTAACTCACATTCATACATACACATACTAGGGACAATTTAGACAGGAGCCAATTAACCTGCCAGCATGTCTTTGGAGTGTGGGAGGAAACCGGAGTACCGGGAGGAAACCCACGCAGGCACAGGGAGAACATGCAAACTCCAGGCAGGTGGTGCCGTGGTTGGGATTTGAACTGGCGACCCGAGTACTGCCAGGCAGAAGTGCTAACCACTTAGCCACTGTGCTGCCCATGATCATGACCAGGACAGGTCAGAACAAATCGGTCTTCTACATCAGTGGGGTGAAGGACATTACCTGCATCCAGCACTTTGATGATTGATGGCGCCCTCTCCACATCCAGCAGGATCTCTGTCAACCACCCGTTGTCCATCAGATAGAGGAAAGCATTGAGCCTATTGCGCAAGGCTGCCAGGGACTCCTGTTTGTGGCGGCCCACCTCATCCGGGTGATACTTGGAGCGGAACCTGCAGAAAAGATGGTGCGTGCGGAGAGAGACATGGAGGGAGAGAGAGAGAAGGTGATGGGGACAGGAAAGAAGACTATGAGACCAGTGGAGGGTGACAACATACAAGAACATAACTAGACAATTCCACTTTCACCATCATAGCTCTCCACATCCTTCAGTACAAAGTGGGAGCCCATCCTGCCGATGCTTAAAGGAGAAGTGCACTTTTTGCTGCCATCCCCTGATCTGACCTGACCTACTCACCCCTTCCACAGATGCACACTTACCTCCATTGGATGGCCGAGGTTCCGCCAAGTCTCCACCGTCCTGGCTGCACCTGTACATGAATACCCCACAGACTTCTATGGACCTGCGTCCAAAGGCCAGAGGTGACTGCGGACGGCACCAGTGAAGACTTGCAGCGGTCGGTATACATCTGTGAAGGGGGAGGGTGGGTGAGGTCAGGCCAGGAGACATGGAGCTAAAAGGATAAGTACATTGTCTCAAGGACAAGGCTGCCCAAGTCCAGACCTGCCTCCAGCCTTCCCTTCAGTCTTGCACAGGCTCCTCTCCGGCACAGAAATTTGCTTCTTCACGATGTGCATTACAAGCCGCAGCAAGTCGGATAGAGCTCTGCCTCATTTCCTGGCTGGAGGACGTTCAGCATCATCTAGCTCTTTCCTCCCTAGCCTGACTGGTGTCAGTGGGAGGAATAGTGCCCCGTCCTTGGGGTCCACGGGAGGAACAGTGCCCCATCATTGGTGTAAGGGGGAGGGGAAATAGTTCCCCCTTCCTTCGTGTCAGTGGGGGGAGGGGGGGGGGCACACAGTGCCCCTTCATTCGCGTCAGTGGGGGGGTACATAGTGCCCCTTCATTCACGTCAGTGGGGGGGGGACAGACATAGTGCCCCGTCATTCGTGTCAGTGGGGGGGGGTACATAGTGCCCCGTCATTCGTGTCAGTGGGGGGGGGGTACATAGTGCCCCGTCATTCGTGTCAATGTGTGTGTGTGGTGGGGAGACTACGGCATAGTGTTGTCAGTGGGGGGGACATAGTGCCCCATCATTGGTGTCGGGGGGGGACATAGTGCCCCATCATTGGTGTCAGTGGGGGGGGGGGGGGGGGGGGGGGGGGGGGGGGGGGGGAGGGGGGGGGGGGGGGGGGGGGGGGGGGGGGGGGGAGACGACATAGTGCCCCATCATTGGTGTCAGTGGGGGGACGGGACATAGTGCCCCATCATTGGTGTCAGTGGGAGGAATCTTGCCCCATCATTGGTGTCAGTGGGGGGGACATAGTGCCCCATCATTGGTGTCAGTGGGAGGAATCTTGCCCCATCATTGGTGTCAGTGGGGGGGACATAGTGCCCCATTGTTTCTTTCAGTGGGAAGAACCGTGCCTCGTCCTCGGGGTCAGTGGTGGGGAATAGTGCTCCAAGGGCCAGATGAAGGCAATCAAAGGACCACATCTGGCCCACAGGCTGCAGTTTGGAGAGCACTGGTCTATAGGATCGAAACACCAAATTGTCCTGCCCCTCCCAGGTGTGACATGCTGCACCCCCCTCCCCCCGATTTGTGGAGGGGTTGTTTTCTGCGCGGTCAGTCCCTGGTGCCTGTGAGGTTGGGGACTGCTGCTGTAGACCACCCTAGGTAAGGCCCACATGTGATGCTGAGCCTCAGTGACTGATAGAACAGAAAACCATTTATTGAAAGGGGCGGGGTCAGGAACACTTACGCCGAGGAGGAAAGCGCCAGTTGATGCTGGGCGTCCTCCTGCCAGGAAATGAGGCGGAGCTCTACCCAAGTTGCTGCAGCTTCTAATGCACATTGTGAGAAGCCCACAGTGTGCAGTGAAATCAGAGGTAGGTCACTGCAGACCAGGAGAGGAGCCGGTACATCTGTGCGAGATTGGCGGGAAAGCCGGAGGTCAGATTTAAATGCACTTTAAAGGGACACAGCAGGATGGGGAGAGTAGGGGAAGCTCACTGCAGGACGCAGCCTGTGGGATCATGCAGCCCAATCGCAGAAAACTGAAGTAGCAGTTTTTCATGTACTGACCCTCTCCACACGCCATACACCCTCCAATCAAGCACGTTACCAATTCAGATACAACAACAGTCACATCTCCCATACATCATTGACTCACGGTAACATTCATCAGATCACACCCCTCCCCCCCCCTCCCAAATCACTCCTCCCCACCCCAAGACATGGGATTAGATCAGACCAATCACATCACCCCGGGGTTTTACCTGGATCATACCGCGTGCAGCAGTTTCCGAACAAAACATTTTACCACCAATATCCACAGGACTTTTTTGTGTTTTTTTTTTTTTTTTTTTTTTTAACTTTGATTTGGTTTTACATTGACATTTTTTTTGTCCTCCCTGCTGCTGCGACCTGCTCTAGCTAATCCTCACACGTTTCAAAACTAGAGAAAACAAAAAAACCTGACTGGCTAGCGTCGCAAAAATAAGACGAACAAGGGAAAAAAAAAAAAACAAAAAAAAAATATATAAACTGGCGCCAGGAGGAGGATTTCCGCACCTTGAGCGTCTTCGGAGAAGGAGAGAAGTGCGTTTAGGTTACAGGGAGAAAAAACATGACATCAGAGAACATAATATATCTATACATTGTCATTGATACAGAGAATGTAGAGACAGAAAATAAAAAGGGGGGGAGGGGAAGAGGAGATGATGACATAGGAAGGAGGGCAACAATAAAGAGAACCTGTCACATATCATTTAGCAGCATGTCTATGGGGTGTAAGATGGAGATTATATACACATACATACATATATGTGTGTGTATGAATGAGATATAGCTACACGCTCCCCTGGAATGCTTGGCCTTGGTACACACACGTTACAATGACAAATAAAAAGGTTAATTTCCTACATTTGTGGCTTTTTAAATTGCAATTAGTGTCAGTGTATAAAGAGTCAATGAGTGTGTTAGCTCCCATGTGGATTCACGGAGCAGGTTAGACACTGAGCCATGGGGAGCGGGGAAAAAGCAACCTTCAAAAGCGTCTCAGACCCCAGATCCCCCTATAGAGTACCGGTCACGTGTCTATTGCTGTTCCCAGGGATGCTTAGATTCCTTGTGACAGGAATAGAATGAGTAAGAAATTAAAAAAAACACAAAAAATAACATTAAAGTGCCCCCTGTGCAAACACCTGTGTCGGTACAGTCAATGTGAGGTATTGCCACAATCGTCAGATCATGGGCAATACTTCTAGCACCAGACCTCCTCTGCAAACCTGAAGTGGTAACATGTAAAAGCATCACCTATGAATGTTAAAATGTACTTCATTTGTCAGCGTTGCATGGGCGGGAGCAATTTTAAAGCACGACATGTTTTGGTATCTATTTACTCGGCATAACATCTTTTATATTTTACCAAAACTAAAAAAAAAAAAAATTCGGGTTATGGTTTTAGTTTTTTTTTTTTTTTAAATTAACTATAAAAAATATATTTTTTATCCCTAAAAATTGCGTTTGAAAAACCACTGTGGGAAAAAAATGCAAAAAAAAACACAAATTTTATTCTCTAGGGCCTCTGCAAAACAAAAAGAAAAAAAAAAAAAAACCTGAGTTATGGTTTTAGTTTTTTTTTTAATAAACTATAAAAAATATTTTTATCCCCAAAAATTGCGTTTGAAAAACCCACTGTGGGGAAAAAAATGCAAAAAAACACAATTTTATTCTCTAGGGCCTCTGCAAAAATAAAAAAAAAAAAAAAAAAAAGGACACCACACACCAAAAAAAGTGCCAGAAATGTCTTGGGGCTGAAGTGGATATAAACTCTCAGAAGGTGGAAGGGGGGAATGTGTTAGGAAACCCTTTCCAAAGAAGTCACATTCCAAGTGAACACATTTGTAGAAAACAAGTAAGCATCTTTTTACACTGGATTTCTGTGCCTGTGATGTTCGTTCACACCAGAATGTGGTGTGGGAAACCATTTCCGTTTCCTTTTCCCACACTGTGTTCAAACACACCAGGTGGGTGATTTTCTGTAGGTGTCAATATATTCCTTTTGACACCACAGATCATGGACCGTGTTCCTGTACAATTCGGGTGTGAACCAGCCCTTACCTGCAATTTTCTTAAGTCGGTGACAGGGTCCCTTTCATAAAGAGAAGGAGAGGGTGACAGTGAGATGACAGACAGATGGAAAAAAAAAAAAAAGAGGGATTGAGAGAGAAGAGGACAGGCAGATAGGGGCACACCACGTACCATTCCTCGTCTTTATGGGCCAGGAAGAAGTCCTGCATCTGCTGACGTCTGAACTCCAATTTGTACTCATTGTAGCGTCTGACGGCTTCCGTCTCGTCCACTGTGTCCTCCAAGGACAGCAGGAACTCTTTGAAGGTTTTCATCACTGGGGCAGGAGTCCCCAAGTCTACATCGTGTAGGTTCCCCAGCCTGGAGGGACAGCGACAACTGATTAGAATGAATACTTTATGAATGCTGTACAATCTGCGTCACTGTTGCTTTGTCCCACAGCCCACTTATACTAACCAAGCCAGCGATTCCCACCACTCCTTCGTCTGCCACAGCCGGGACCAAGATACCCAGAGGGAGCAGAGGCATACCCTCTTGCCCGGGCCTAGCGATGGACTATTAGACCTGAGCACCGAGAACCTTTATCAGTGGTTGCATTTGCACTTGGTCGGCTCTTCTTCCCCACCTCAGGCGAAGTCTCAGGAAGATACTCATCACCCTAATCTTAGCTGTATTGACATGGATACTCAATACAGAAGCTGCTATCAATCGATAACTAGGGGCTGGTCAGGAGACATGTCTGCCTATAGAATCACATCCTTACGGCACTCTAAAAATACTACAGTAGCGCAGAGCAGCTTAATGAGAACCAGGAAGTATCCTGGTCTTCTGGTTGTCATCACAAGGGAGGATGTTGAAGTCAGAAGGTACCCTGGTCCTCTCATGGTCATCACAAGGGAGGATGTTGAAGTCAGAAGGTACAGAAGGTACCCTGGTCCTCTCATGGTCATCACAAGGGAGGATGTTGAAGTCAGAAGGTACCCTGGTCCTCTCATGGTCATCACAAGGGAGAATGTTGAAGTCAGAAGGTACCCTGGTCCTCTCATGGTCATCACAAGGGAGGATGTTGAAGTCAGAAGGTACCCTGGTCCTCTCATGGTCATCACAAAGGAGGATGTTGAAGTCAGAAGGTACCCTGGTCCTCTCATGGTCATCACAAGGGAGGATGTTTAAGTCAGAAGGTACCCTGGTCCTCTCATGGTCATCACAAGGGAGGGATGTTTAAGTCAGAAGGTACCCTGGTCCTCCCATTGTCATCACAAGGGAGGATGTTGAAGTCAGAAGGTACCCTGGTCCTCTCATGGTCATCACAAGGGAGGATGTTGAAGTCAGAAGGTACCCTGGTCCTCTCATGGTCATCACAAGGGAGGATGTTGAAGTCAGAAGGTACCCTGGTCCTCTCATGGTCATCACAAGGGAGGACATTGTCATAGGAGGAAGGTGAAAACAGGAAATACCCTGGTGTTCTCATTTTCATCTTCCTCCTTTATGATACCAGGATGTACTCTGGTCTTCCCATCATAGGTGAGGAAAATGAAACCAGGAAGTAATCTGGTCTTCTCATTGTTGTCAAAAAGGAAAAAAGTTGAAACCAGAAAATCCTTGTTAGGAGATGAAACCAGAAAATATCATGGTCTTGTTTTCTTCATAAGGGAGGAAGATGAAACCAGGAAGCACCCTGGGTCTTCTCATTTTCATCAAAAGGGAGGAAGATGAAACCAGGAAGCACCCTGGGTCTTCTCATTTTCATCAAAAGGGGAGGAAGATGAAACCAGAAGCACCTGGGTCTTCTCATTTTCATCAAAAGGGAGGAAGATGAAACCAGGAAGCACCCTGGGTCTTCTCTTTTGTCGTCAAAAGGGAGGAAGATGAAACCAGGAAGCACCCTGGGTCTTCTCTTTGTCGTCCAAAGGGAGGAAGATGAAACCAGGAAGCACCCTGGGTCTTCTCTTTGTCGTCCAAAGGGAGGAAGATGAAACCAGGAAGCACCCTGGGTCTTCTCTTTGTCGTCCAAAGGGAGGAAGATGAAACCAGGAAGCACCCTGGGTCTTCTCTTTGTCGTCCAAAGGGAGGAAGATGAAACCAGGAAGCACCCTGGGTCTTCTCTTTGTCGTCCAAAGGGAGGAAGATGAAACCAGGAAGCACCCTGGGTCTTCTCTTTGTCGTCCAAAGGGAGGAAGATGAAACCAGGAAGCACCCTGGGTCTTCTCTTTGTCGTCCAAAGGGAGGAAGATGAAACCAGGAAGCACCCTGGGTCTTCTCTTTGTCGTCCAAAGGGAGGAAGATGAAACCAGGAAGCACCCTGGGTCTTCTCTTTGTCGTCCAAAGGGAGGAAGATGAAACCAGGAAGCACCCTGGGTCTTCTCTTTGTCGTCCAAAGGGAGGAAGATGAAACCAGGAAGCACCCTGGGTCTTCTCTTTGTCGTCAAAAGGGAGGAAGATGAAACAATGAAGTACCCTTTGTCGTCAAAAGGAGAAGTTGAGACCAGGAAGTACACTCGTCTTTTCATTTCCATAAGCAGAAACCAGGAAGTACCCTGCTCTTGTCATTGTCATCACAAAGGAAGAAGTTTAAACCAGGGACTACCCTGGTCTTCTCGTTGCCATAAAGGAGAAAAACCGGGAAGTACTCTGGTCTTGTCGTTGTCACATAAGGAAAGAAGTTGAAAGCAGAAACTACCCTGCTCTTCTTGTTGCCACCAAAGGGAGAAGTATCCTAGTTTTGTCATTTCCATAAGGAGGAAGCTGAAACGGAGATGGAATCTGGCCTTGACGTCGTCACATAAGAGAAGGAGTTGAAAGCAGGAAGTAACCAGGTCTTATTGTCATGAAGAAGGAAGCTGAAACCAGGAAGCACCCCTAGTTTTTTGGTTGTCATCATAAGGAAGGAAGTACTCTGGTCTCCGTGCTGCCATAAGCGAAGAATCTGAAACCAGAAAATACCTGGGTTTTCTACTCATAAGGAAGAAAACTGTAATAAGGAGGTACCCTATTTTTTTTCATTGTCATCACAAGAGAGGAAGTTAAAAATCAGAAGTACCTCGGTCTTGTTCTCATAAGGGAGGACATTAAAAATCAGGAAGTAACCTGGTCTTCCCATTGTCATCGAAAGGGAGGAAGATGAAACCAGGAAGTAATCTGGTCTTCTCATTATCAAAGGAAAAGTTGAAATCAGGAAGTACCCTGGTCTTCTCATTGCTGTCAAAAGGGAAGAAGATGAAACCAGGAAATAGCCTGGTCTCCCTGTTGTCAAAGGAAGAAGCTGAAAGCAGGAAGTGTCCCCGGTCTTCTCTTTTCCACCATAAGGGAGGAAGCTGAACTCAGGAAGTACTCTGGTCTTCTCGTCATTATAAAGGGAGGGAGACTAAAACTAGGAAGTACCCTGGTCTTCCCATTGTCATCAAATGGGAGAAAGGTGAAAGCAGGAAGTATCCTGATCTTAGTTGTCATAAGGGAAGCAGCTGAATCCAGGACGTTCCCTGATCTCATTGTCATAAGGAAGCTGAAGCCACTGGCAGGATCATTCGATAATTACAACATAGGGATAACTGATAAGAATTGACACAGAGAACACGTCACCCACTGTATATGGTTTTAGTTTCAAGAAAAGAATTGTCCCCCTTTAAAATAATTACATTTTGTTGCTTTGCTGCCTGAAATGAAGACAGACACAGTTTTTGTTTTATCCAGCTGTATTTATGTGCAAGTGCAACTTATAACATCCAAGTGAAAGATATAACATCAACATGTCAGAAAAAAAAAAAAAAATTCAAAAAACAAATCACTGTGCTGGAAAAAAAGGACCCCCTCGTTTCAGTATTTTGTTGAACCACCTTTTGCTTTAATTCCAGCCTTTAGTCTGTTGGGATGTCTCTACTAACTTTTCACATCTAGACTTGGCGATATTTCCACGCTCTTCTTTGCAGAGCTGCTCAACTTCAGTTACATTTGATGGTGACCGTGTGGACTACAGTCTTCAAGTCATTCCACAGATTTTCAATGGGGTTGAAGTCTGAGCTCTGACTAGGCCATGCAAGGACATTCACCTCTTTCTTCTCCAACCACCGTGGGCTCATTTTTGCTGTTTGCTTTGGGTCATCTCCATGTTGGAAGGTAAACCTTCTTCCCATTGACAACCTTCTGGCAGAGGGCAGCAGATTTTCCTCCAGAATTTGATTGTATTTTTCCCCGTCCATTTTTCCTGCTACAATAACCACAGCTAATAACAGTTGCAAGCCAAATGGCTTTGTGTGCCATTGAGAAGGTGATTAGCTACACCTGATTATGTTTACCAGTCATTTTTAGGAGGGGGGGGGGGTGATCCTTTTCCCAACTCAGTGATTCAGTTTTTGAATATTTCTGCATTTTGTTTTCCCGACACGTTGGTGCTATCCTTTCACTTGGATGTTGTAAGTTGCCCTGAGTTAATACAGCTGGATAAAACAAAAACAGTGTCAGTCTTTATTTTAGGCTGCAAAGCAACAAAAAATGTGATTATTTTAGAGAGGGGCGATTCTTTTCTATACCCATTGTATGTAATATTTTATCCGCCTCCCGCCCACCATATGAGGAAATGACGGGCGCAGCGCAAGGCAGTTCTCTCGTTCTGGGACGACGTCATGACGTCCTCCTACTCTAACCGCGCATCCGTGGCTCCAGGGGCGCGCAGCGTGGCGATCGATGCTGCGCTGTGTCCTTCGGACACAGCGGATCAATGGAAAGAGCCGAAGACGTCGGATCGGTCATGTGATCAGCTGTGTCCAATCACAGCTGATCGCATGTAAATAATGAAATGCCGGTTATCAGCATTTCTCTCCTCTCGAGCTGTCACGCTGACAGAGGAGGAGAGGAGAGCCGGTAATCGGCATTCCTCAGAGGGGACATGTACACTGATCATCAGAGCACTGATCATCAGTGTAGCCCCATCAGTGCCACCTGTCAGTGTCAATCAATGCCAACTGTCAGTGCTAATCAGTGCCACATATCAGTGCCTACCAGTCACACTGACAGAGGAGAGGAGAGCCAGTAATCGGCATTCCGTGGAGGGGACAAGTACACTGATCATCAGTGTGCCCTGATGATCAGTGTAGTCTCAGCAGTGCCACCTGTCAGTGCTCATCAGTGCCACATATCAATGCCTACCAGTCACACTGACAGAAAAGAGGAGAGCCAGTAATCGGCATTCCACGGAGGGGACAAGGGCACTGATGATCAGTGTAGCCCCAGCAGTGCCACCTATCAGTGTCAATCAATGAAACGGTCAGTGCTCATCAGTGCCACATATCAGTGCCTACCAGTCACACTGACAGAGGAGAGGAGAGCCAGTAATCGGCATTCCGTGGAGGGGACAAGTACACTGATCATCAGTGTGCCCTGATGATCAGTGTAGTCTCAGCAGTGCCACCTGTCAGTGCTCATCAGTGCCACATATCAATGCCTACCAGTGCACATCAATGCCACATATCAGTGCCCATCTGAGCTGCTTTCAGTGCTGACTATCAGTGCCCATCAGTGATGCCTGTCAATACCCTTCAGTGCCACCTATCAGTGCCCATCACTGCAGCCTCATTAGATCACATCAGTGAAGGAGAAAAATAACTTATTTACAAAATTGTATAACAAAAACTAAGAAGAAAACTTAATTTTTTTCAAAATTTTCAGTTGTTTTTGGTTTGTCAAAAAAGAAAAAAAAGTTAAAGACCACCAAAAGAAAGCTCTGTCACAAAGAAAATGATAAAAATTTCATATGTATGACCGCGCAATTGTCAAAGTGCGACAGCTCTGAAAGCTGAAAATTGGCCTGGACGGGAAGGGGGTACAAGTGCCTGGTAGGCGAGGGGTTAATATGGGTGTACAAGTGCCTGGTAGGCGAGGGGTTAATATGGGTGTACAAGTGCCTGGTAGGCGAGGGGTTAATATGGGTGTACATGGGGGTACAAGTGCCTGGTAGGCGAGGGGTTATTATGGGTGTACATGGGGGTACAAGTGCCTGGTAGGCGAGGGGTTAATATGGGTGTACATGGGGGTACAAGTGCCTGGTAGGCGAGGGGTTAATATGGGTGTACATGGGGGTACAAGTGCCTGGTAGGCGAGGGGTTAATATGGGGGTACAAGCGCCTGGTAGGCGAGGGGTTAATATAGGTGTACAAGTGCCTGGTAGGCGAGGGGTTAATATGGGTGTACATGGGGGTACAAGTGCCTGGTAGGCGAGGGGTTAATATGGGTGTACATGGGGGTACAAGTGCCTGGTAGGCGAGGGGTTAATATGGGTGTACATGGGGGTACAACAAGTGCCTGGTAGGCGAGGGGTTATTATGGGTGTACATGGGGGTACAAGTGCCTGGTAGGCGAGGGGTTAATATGGGTGTACATGGGGGTACAAGTGCCTGGTAGGCGAGGGGTTAATATGGGTGTACATGGGGGTACAAGTGCCTGGTAGGCGAGGGGTTAATATGGGTGTACATGGGGGTACAAGTGCCTGGTAGGCGAGGGGTTATTATGGGTGTACATGGGGGTACAAGTGCCTGGTAGGCGAGGGGTTAATATGGGTGTACATGGGGGTACAAGTGCCTGGTAGGCGAGGGGTTAATATGGGTGTACATGGGGTACAAGTGCCTGGTAGGCGAGGGGTTAATATGGGTGTACATGGGGGTACAAGCGCCTGGTAGGCGAGGGGTTAATATGGGTGTACATGGGGGTACAAGTGCCTGGTAGGCGAGGGGTTAATATGGGTGTACATGGGGGTACAAGCGCCTGGTAGGCGAGGGGTTAATATGGGTGTACCGACACTTTAAATCCAGCAGTGTAAAGCAGCCAACCTGAAGAAGATACAAAGCAAACACTGGAAGAAATGAGAAGAAACCATTGGAATACATAATACATGAAAGCAATGGGAGTGGCTTCCTTTCTGCCGACAATAGTCACAGCTACGGATCGCCGTGTCTGGAACAGATAGGATTACCGTCCCCCATTTGTACTTTAATGGATTATTTAATAAAAGATTCAATCTCACTAGTGAACACGTTGGCACTCCCGTACATCCTCCCCCCTCCAAGCCTGCAGTAACAATACACCATCTGCTGCTCCCACACACGTTTTCTCAGGTCCGATTGCTGCAGGTGTCACAGCACACGGAACAATAGATGGCCAAGCTGTTCTGTTCTCTGTCCGTCACAGGAAATATGATGGGGTGGGGTGGGGGGGGGGGGGGGGGTGGGGGGGGGGGGACAGATCCACGTGCAGCAAAACGCACAAAGTCTAAGATGCTTGAAGAGAGCACCGGTGACAACGGGAGAGAGGGATTCCCCCTCTGTTGTGTCGCCAAGGTAGTCATTAAAATCTGCTCAACAAAACAAAAACAGCAAAAAAAACCTCACAAAACTACAAAATGGAAAGGCGATATATGAACACATTACACTACAGTATAGTCTGTGCAGCCAATTCAGGCAAATTCATAAAAATATATACACGTCTTACAGCCCCCTTACCTTGCCTGTATGGGGATACCAGGATGCTGCATGACATGCATGTCGGGATGTCCCCATGGCTGAGGAGGACCGTAGGCTGGGCCACCGGAAGTACCAGAATAGGGCATGTCGTAGCCGCTGTGATACGGGTCAGAGCTGTGATCGTCCCTAGGAAAAAAACTCAGATCAACAATACCGGCATGGTGTTTGGGACAAATTCTCAGCGGCACCGTGTCACACACACACTTGCACGCACACGGCCAGCCCCCCCACGCACAAGGGGGCAGACATGGCCGCGCCCCCCCCCCCCCCCACGCACGCATGAGGGGGCGGACACGGTTGCCCCTGCCCCCCCCCCCCCCCCACACAGGCAGACACAGCTGGCCCCCCACAAACACACGGCTGCCCCCATATGCAGTACGGGCACGGCTGCCCAACCCCCCCCCACACACACACACACACACACACACACACACACACACACACACAGGCGGACCCAGCTGCCCCCCCACACGCACAGACACGGCTGCCCAACCCCCCCCCCTCCCCACACACACACACACACACACACACACACACACACACACACACACACACGGACGGCTGCCCAACTCCCCCCCCCACACACACAGGCGGACACAGCTGGCCCCCCACAAACACACGGCTGCCCCCATATGCAGTACGGGCACGGCTGCCCCCCCCCCCCCCCACACACACACACACACACACACACACAGGCGGACCCAGCTGCCCCCACACGCACAGACACGGCTGCCCAACCCCCCCCCCCCCACACAGACACACGGGGGGGGGCGGACACGCCTGTCCCCACACGCACTGACACACAGGCGGACGAGGGCTGGTCCCCCCCCCCTCCCCGCACGCAGGCCGACGAGGCTGGTCCCCCCCCCCCCTCCCCGCACGCAGGCCGACGAGGCTGGTCCCCCCCCCCCTCCCCGCACGCAGGCCGACGAGGCTGGTCCCCCCCCCCCCCCCCCGCACGCAGGCCGACGAGGCTGGTCCCCCCCCCCCTCCCCGCACGCAGGCCGACGAGGCTGGTCCCCCCCCCTCCCCGCACGCCAGGCCGACGAGGCTGGTCCCCCCCCCCCCCCCCCCCCCGCACGCAGGCCGACGAGGCTGGTCCCCCCCCCCCCTCCCCGCACGCAGGCCGACGAGGCTGGTCCCCCCCCCCCCCCCCCGCACGCAGGCCGACGAGGCTGGTCCCCCCCCCCCCCCCCCCCCCCCCCCCCCCCCCCCCCAGCCCCCGCAGGCCGACGAGGCTGGTCCCCCCCCCCCCCCCCCGCACGCAGGCCGACGAGGCTGGTCCCCCCCCCCCCCTCCCCGCACGCAGGCGGACAAGGCTGGTCCCCCCTCCCTCCCCGCACGCAGGCGGACAAGGCTGGTCCCCCCTCCCTCCCCGCACGCAGGCGGACAAGGCTGGTCCCCCCTCCCTCCCCGCACGCAGGCGGACAAGGCTGGTCCCCCTCCCTCCCCGCACGCAGGCGGACAAGGCTGGTCCCCCCTCCCTCCCCGCACGCAGGCGGACAAGGCTGGTCCCCCCTCCCTCCCCGCACGCAGGCGGACAAGGCTGGTCCCCCCTCCCTCCCCCGCACACGCAGGCGGACAAGGCTGGTCCCCCCTCCCTCCCCGCACGCAGGCGGACAAGGCTGGTCCCCCCTCCCTCCCCGCACGCAGGCGGACAAGGCTGGTCCCCCCTCCCTCCCCGCACGCAGGCGGACAAGGCTGGTCCCCCCCCTCCCTCCCCGCACGCAGGCGGACAAGGCTGGCCCCCCTAGCTCCCCGCACAGGCGGATGGCCAAACCCCCCCGCCGCACATAGGCGGACAGATGGCCCAACCCCCCCACACAATGCACAGTGGTATGGCCCTCACCAGTCTCTTCTCATCCGCTTCTGAGGGGGGGACTCATCTCATGGCGCGGAGGAGAGAACCTCTCCCTTCTGCTCCTGTCATAGTCGCGGTACTCTCGGCTCCTCCTCTCCCGTCCTCGGTCCCATTCCCTGCAGGACACAACACAAGACAAACCATGAAAATGACAACACGGTGACATTGCTTTTCCTCTCAACTTCATGAGCCTAAAGCGGACGTCCCGGCAGAAATGTCTGTTAGAAATGTCAGTTAGTTGTCTTTTTGCCAAAAATGCAGCATTTCCAGGGCTCAGCGCCCCTAATGACCTCCATACAAGACCGGTGTTCCCACCTCTGAGGTCACTGATCAAGTATAGCGACAGCCGTGGGTGCCGGCGGTCAGAATACAAAAGCCGGCAGCGGGAGAATCCTTCATCCAATGGGAATGGGGGAATCTATGGATTCTTCTTGGGCTGAGCAAATGTCATATGTACATGTATGGCCAGGTTAAAGGGTACCTCCGCCTACAATAAATTAGGATTACTTCCCAACAGCATCAACTCCCCTCCTGTGCGCACTGCACTTATCCATTTCCTTAGACTCACCCGCTGCCCGGATCTGCTAGTGTACCGACCCGTACTCGGCCCCAGCTGCCCGGATCTGCTAGTGTACCGACCCGTACTCGGCCCCAGCTGCCCGGATCTGCTAGTGTACCGACCCGTACTCGGCCCCAGCTGCCCGGATCTGCTAGTGTACCGACCCGTACTCGGCCCCAGCTGCCCGGATCTGCTAGTGTACCGACCCGTACTCGGCCCCAGCTGCCCAGATCTGCTAGTGTACCGACCCGTACTCGCTGCCCCAGCTGCCCGGATCTGCTAGTGTACCGACCCGTACTCGGCCCCAGCTGCCCGGATCTGCTAGTGTACCGACCCGTACTCGGCCCCAGAAGCTATGTAGCAGCATAAATGTGTGTCGCTGGTCAGAGCAGTCATGTGAGAGTGCTGACCAATGACAGTCTGCTTACTTCCAGGACACAAGAAAAGACCCCAATTGGCCAGCTCTGTCACATGACCTTAAGCCATGCTGCTACAACAACTTCCGGGGCTGAGTACTGAGCAGCATAATGGGTGCAAATCCTTGAGATCACGTGACAGAACTGGCCAATGAGGGTCTTTTTTTTGTCCTGGAAGCTGAAGTTCTCATTGGTCAGCACGGTCACATGACTGTGCTGATCAATGACCGCGACCGCATGCTGTTGCACCATTATGCTGCTACACAGCTTCCAGGGCGGATCGGTGCGCCGGCAGACCTGGGTGGTCGGAGGAGTCTAAGGAAATGCAGAAAAGTGCAATGGGGGCAGAAGGAGCAGAGAGGATGTTAGGAGGGATCCTGGAGGAGATGCCCTTTAGAACAGGGGTGTCAAACTGGCGGCCCTCCAGCTGTTGCGAAACTACAAGTCCCATCATACCTCTGCCTTTGGGAGTCATGCTTGTAATGGTCAATCTTGCAATGCCTCATGGGACTTGTAGTTTGGCAACAGCTGGAGGGCCGCCCATTTGACACCCGTGCTTTAGAGCCATTCACACAAGAGCAGGCAGCTTCTGGAGTGCTTTACCTGTCCGCTCTCAAATGTGCTAGGGGGCGGTGTGGTGTGTGATTCAGTACATCACATGACTCAGTTTTTGTTTCTTTTGGACAAACTTTATTTGAAATGTACAAAACATACACTTCATTCATGATGCTGCACAGTGCCATGTGATGCTGCACAGTGCCATGTGATGCTGCACAGTGCCATGTGATGCTGCACAGTGCCATGTGATGCTGCACAGTGCCATGTGATGCTGCACAGTGCCATGTGATGCTGCACAGTGCCATGTGATGCTGCACAGTGCCATGTGATGCTGCACAGTGCCATGTGATGCTGCACAGTGCCATGTGATGCTGCACACAGTGCCATGTGATGCTGCACAGTGCCATGTGATGCTGCACAGTGCCATGTGATGCTGCACAGTGCCATGTGATGCTGCACAGTGCCATGTGATGCTGCACAGTGCCATGTGATGCTGCACAGTGCCATGTGATGCTGCACTGAGATAATGCAGCTTGGCTGAATTTTAGCGTGGCTCCAGTGCTGCAGTGTGAATGTGACAGGAAGCAATTGTTTGCAGTGACAGGTGTTTTAAAATGCAATAAAACGTCTGACTGTGCAACTACAGCCTCAAAGCAGAGATCCACTCAAAAGTAGAAGCTCCACTATTTTACCTCCGCTGCCACGTTCTGCACCTTTTGGTGGGAGGGGGGGGCGAAGGTACCTGGTATTGACAGGTACCCACTCCCACTTCCGGCTCAGTTCGCCATAGTATTTGTAGCTGCTGACTTTTAATTATTTTTTTGGGAGGTGGCAGGAGCCAGAACTCTGCTCAAACACCCCGGACACACCGATCCCCAATTTAAAATTGTGCGACTTACATGGAGTCGGAGGACACTCCAATTTGAGGTGCGATATGCAAGACGTCTGACACAGATGTCTATGCAAAACGCAGCAAAAGTAATGCATGTGCTGCTTTAGAAATCAGTGCGGCTCCGACCAAGTCGTATAAACCGCACCAATATGACCGATTGCAGATCGCATGGCAAGTCGCACCCCCATTGTCCGCAATTACAAGTCGTGTGGCATGCAAATCGCATGCCAAGTTGCACACAGTGTGACCGGGGACTTACAGCCCATCTCCGGGGGAAGGTGAAGACCCTCCTCTGCAGTAGTGCGGCCCCCACACTGCAAGGGTTAGGTATAGAGCAAGGGTAAGCAACCTGAGAGCCGCAGGACTACAAGTCCCATCATGCCTCTGCAAGTCATAGCTGTAACTGTCAGTTTTGTAATCTTTGCAATGCCTCATGGGAAATGTAGTTCCACAACAGCTAGAGAGCCACATGTTGCCTACCCCTGGTGTAGAGGAACAGAAAAGCAGTTTTACTTTCCGGATCCCAACTCTGGTGGTGCACGGTCCCTCTGTGTTCTCATGTTCAATGCAGGGCTTTCGGCCCCGCATTGTACCCCATGATGTCAAAGAGCCCGTGACCACCAGAGGATAGGGGGGAGGAAAGTGCATGGGCCAGTCTAGTACCGTGGGTGGAGCCTGGATGAGAGGAGTCAATTTATTGAGATTGTCCGCTGCACCTCCCCCACCCTGTCCTCTCCAGCAAAATGAAACCTCTATGGACACCACTCCAGGACAAAGCAGCGACCAGTCGCGGGTTCTCTGCCTTCCGGGATCTGGCTGGGCTAACACCCCCCTCCCTTCCCTCTGAGGTACTCTGCCTTCCTCCACATAAAACCAGCGACGTGAAACCTGACCGCACGCTGCCGCTACCTCCCATTGGCTGCCATGGCTTCCCCCCTCCCACAAACACGATAGTTCCACATTGGGCAAAGTGCTTCTGGTATCCATTCCTTTCAGTGGCGCCCTCTCAGGCTATGACCATCACCTGTCGCTCCAGTCGTCTCTCCTCCTCTCGTCCCGCTCTCTGGAACGATCGTAGTCGCTCCTCTCCCTCCGGAACTTGTCTCTGCGGCGGCGGTCGTATTCATCATCGCTGTCGGCCATTTTGTTTGCTTAGATGGTTCTGCGAGGAACAAAGTACCAACATCATGACCCCATAACAGCTAGTGAGCCCGTCCACCATACCTGGCCTGAGTCCCTTAGAACCCTCATTACTCTCGAGGGTCCCCCCCAGGTCTCAATATTCTCTAGAATCCCACCAGTCTCTAGAATCCTCCATCCCCTCGTTGTTCATCCCCCCCTCCCAAGTACCCTCATCACTCTCGAAGGGTCCCCCCCCAGGTCTCAATATTCCTTAGAGTCCCACAAGTCTCTAGGATCTCCCATCCCCACATTACTGTTCGTGCTCCCCCCTCCCGGACCATTACCACTCTCCGGAGTCCCCCCAAAACAATTACACTTCATTGCTGCCACTACCACCCCCCCCCGCCCCCCGATTCATTACTCTTCCTGGCCTCCCCCAGGACCATCATTACTCTGAGTTGACCCCAATCCCCCCACCCAGCACCCTCATCGCTCTTCCTTGCCTTCCTCCCTCATCACTCTCTGAGGTCACCCCAGGATTCTCACCCTGTGCCAAGCACCCCCCCCCCCCCCCAGGACCCCTCATCAGTCTCCAAGGCCCTCCAAAGACCCCTCATCTCTCTCTGGATCCCCTAGGACCCCTCATCACTCTCTAGAGTCCCCCCAAAGACCCTTATTACTCTGTGCCCTCAGGGATCGCTCATCATTTTCCAAGGTCCCCCAAAGACCCCTTATTCTCTGTGCCCCCCCCATGGAACACTCACTCTTTGTGGCCCCCCCAGGAACCCTCAACACTCTGTGGGCCACCAATACCCCTCAACACTCTCTAGCGTCCTTCAAAGACCATCATCAACCTTTGTGCCCCTCCCAGGACCCCTCAGAGACCCTTATCACTCTTTGTGGCCCCCCCAGAACTCCCATTACTACCCCCCAGGACCCCTCATCACTCTTTGTGGCCCCCCCAGAACTTCCATCACTACCCTCCCCCCCCCCCCCCCCCCAGGACCCCTTGCTTTCTGTTGCCCCCTAGGAACACTCTCTCCACGCACCCCCCCCCCCCCCCCAAACCCCATAACACTTTCTGGCTTCCCAATACCCCCCAACACTCTCCAGGGTCACCCAAAGACCCTTATTACTCTCTCTGCCCCCCCCAGGACCCCTCATCACTCTTCGTGCCCCCCCAGGACTCCTTACTCTGTGGCCCCTCGTCACTCTATGTGGCCCCCCCCCCCAGGACCCCTCGTCACTGTGTGGTCCCTCCACAGGACCCCTCATCACACTCTGTGGCCCCTCCCCCAGGACCCCTCGTCACACTCTGTGGCCCCTCCCCAGGACCCCTAGTCACACTCTGTGGCCCCTCCCCAGGACCCCTAGTCACACTCTGTGGCCCCTCCCCAGGACCCCTAGTCACACTCTGTGGCCCCTCCCCAAGGGCCCTCATCACACTTTGTGCTCCCCCCAGGACCCCTCGTCATTCTCCGGGGCCCCTCATTACTGTGTGCATGCAGACTCCTTCCCTCCCGGGCCACTCGCTGCCCTCGGGGTGGGTCCTGCAGACCTCATCACCCCCGGGCCGGTGCCCCCTACTCACCTCGCCGTCTTTCCTCCTCCTCCGGATCTCCTTGCTGCAGACAGAAACAATGATGGAGGCGGGAAGGAAAAAGATATTCCTCACGTCCTGCCTGGACCGGAAAATACTGCTGTGGGCGGGGACAAGAGGAAGAGCTGACGGCCATTTTATGTGAGGGCAAAGTCTCCCACACCACCTGTGCCCTCTTTGTCTTAGGGACGGAGACGTGTTCCTCGTCATGCGGGATCCTCCAAGTCCATGTTCCTCATGAGAAGATAATAATTTTCCCCTTCTGGCTCAGACCACCAACCAAGAACGAAGTTTCTCTACTTCCTGTCTGGACCGGAAGACGTCAATCTGTGAAAGACGCTGGAAACGCTGTGGCCATCTTAAGTGCTGGCAATGCGTTTTGTTTTACTTCACTTTCTCCACATGCTGGGATGATCAAAAGCGGACTGAAGGTGATACTTTACTCTTTCTCTGAGAATTTTATGCCAGGTTCGGATTTGAAAGAATTAATTTTTTTTTTTTCATTTGCAGGATCAGGTTCCAGGAACCAAGATGGCGGAGGAGCCCATGGCCACCAGCCCTATATTATTATTATTATACAGTATTTATTTAGCGCCAAAGGGTTTGCTCAGCGCTGTACAATAGCGGGGGGGACAGAACATGAGAAGACAATAACAATACAAAACACGAGGGGTTCGAGGGCCCTGCTCTTTCGAGCTTACAATCTAGGAGGATGGGAAAGTGGTACAGGAGGAAATGGCTGTAGGGGATGGAGTGGATGAGGTCAGTTAGGTGAGGGTGGGGTAGGCTTCCCTGAAGAGGTGGATTTTCAGGGTGTGCCTGAAGGTGAGGAGGGTTGGTGACAGTCTGATGGATTGGGGTAGGGTGTTCCAGAGGATGGGGGAAGTCCTGGAGAAGTCCTGCAATCGGGCATGGGAGGTGGAGACCAGGGAGCTAGAGAGTAGGAGGTCTTGTGAGCAGCAGAGGGCACGGGTAGGGTGGTATTTGGGTATCAGGTCAGTTATGTAGTTCGGGGCGGCGTTGTGAATGGCTTTGTAGGTCAGAGTTAGCAGTTTGAATTTGATGCGTTGGGCAATCGGGAGCCAGTGAAGGGATTGGCAGAGGGGGGAGGCAGATGTGGAGCGGTTGGTGGATGAGTCTAGCCGCTGAGTTCAGGATAGACTGGAGTGGGGATAGCGTATGTTTGGGTAGGCCAGTGAGAAGGGAGTTGCAGTAGTCCAGGCGTGAGATGATGAGGGAGTGTACGAGTTGTTTAGTAGTGTCTGGGATGAGGAACGTACGTCTCTTGGAGATGTTGCAGAGGCGGAGCCTGCATGACTTTGATAGTGATTGGACATGGGGTTGGAAGGAAAGGTTTGAGTCCAAGGTGACACCCAGGACTTTGGCATGTGGGGTGGGATTGATGGTGGCCTTGCTAGTAGTGATGGAGAGCATGGGGGGGGGGGAGACCAGGAGCTTGGTTTTGGAAAGGTTTAATTTGAGGAAATGGAGTGACATCCAGTCTGATATGTCTTTCAGGAGGTGGGCGGAGAGTGAGGGGGTGAGGTGGGGGGTGGAGAGGTAAATTTGTGGGTCGTCGGCATAGAGGTGGTAATTGAAGCTGTGGGAGTGTATTAGTTTGCCAAGGGAGGAGGTGTATATGGAGAAGAGGAGGGGTTCGAGGACAGAACCTTGGGGGACCCCTACAGAGTGGGGGAGGTGGTAGTGTTATAGGTGACACTGAAGGAGCGTTGGGATAGGTAGGAGGAGAACCAGGAGAGAGCAGCGTCCCTGATGCCAAAGGAGTGCAGTTTAGTAAGGACGAGAGGGTGGTCGACAATGTCGAAGGCTGCAGAGAGGTCAAGGAGCAGGAGGACAGAGTAGTGGCCATTAACTTTGGCGGTTAGCAGGTCGCTGGTGATTTTAAGTAGGGCGGTTTCGGTGGAGTGTAGTGGACGGAAGCCAGACTGTAGAGGATCAAGGAGGTTGTTATCGGTGAGGTGGGGCGCTTAGGCGATTGTAGGCCAGGCATTCAAGGAGCTTGGAAGTGAATGGTAGCAGGGAGATGGGTCTAAGGTTGTTTAGGTCAGTGGGGTCAAGGGAGGGATTTTTGAGTATGGGGGTGATGTGCGCGTGCTTTAGAGGGGAGGGGAATGTGCCAGTGGAGAGGGAGAGATTGAAGATGTGGGTGAGGGAGTGAATGATGGGGGAGGGGGGGTTACTGGAGGAGCTGTGAGGGGATAGGGTCCAGGGGGCAGGTGGTGAGGCGGGCTTCAGTGAAGACCTTAGAGACCTCCTCAGGGGTAGCTGGGCTGAAGGAGCGGAGCGTTGGGGGAGGTGATAGTGTTCGGGCGTTGGGCATAGTGGGGGGTAGTGCGGCTATGAGGTCGGAGGAGGGAAGGGTTGAGGGGTTGATGGAGGGAGGGGGGCAGGGTGGAGAGGTAGATTGTGAGTTGACAATGTCCTTACGGATCGCGTCAATCTTGTTTTGGAAATGGTTGGCAATCTCGTGGGCGGTGAGAGAGGTACTGGGTGGGGGTGGGGGGGGGAGAGCAGGGATTTGAAAGTGGAGAAGAACCGGCGAGGACAGGTGGAGAGGGTGTTGATGAGGGTTACAAAGTAGGCTTGTTTGGCAGCATGGAGGGAGGTGGTGTAGGTGAGGAAGACGGCTTTGTAGAGGGAGAACGCGCAAGGAGATCTGGTTTTGCGCCATAAGCGCTCCAGCACGCGACTGCGTAGTTTGAGACATTTTGTATGGTCGTTTTGCCAGGGTTGAAGCGGTCGGGGTCTGACATTACGCGTGGTTAGGGGTGCCAGGGAGTCGAGGGCAGCCGACAGTGAGTTGTTGTACACAGTAGTGGCCAGGTCAGGGCATGACAGAGGGACAGAGGGAGGATACTGTCCTACAGACGGTCAGCTGCTGGGTGCAGATGGGTCGGGTTCAGGTTGCGGAGGTTATGGGTGATGGTTGGACGCTTTGGGGGGGGGGAGTTAAGGGAGGGGGAGATGGAGAATGTGAGGAAGTGGTGGTCAGAGAGGAGGAAGGGGGTGTTAGTGAAGTCTGGGGGGGGGGGGGGTGCAGAGGTGGGAGAAAAAACGAGATCCAGGGTGTTTCCATTGGTGTGGGTGGAGGACTGAGTGTGCTGTGTGAGCGTGAAGGAAGAGGTTAGGAGGAGGAGTTGGGAAGTAGCCGGGCTGTTGGCATTGATTGGGATGTTGAAGTCCCCTAGGATGATGGTCGGTAGCTCGGAGGAGAGGAAAAAGGGAAGCCAGGCGGCAAAGTCGTCTAGGCAGAGGGATGCAGAACCAGGAGGCCGATAGAGTACTGCAATCATCAGGGGGGGTGGGAGAGAAGAGCCGGATGCAGTGGGCCTCGAAGGAGGAGAAGGATAGGGAGGACCTGGAAGGTGCTCAGCGGTGGCAGGAGCATACCGACCCCACC